AGATCTACCGCATAGGAGATCTCAGGGACGCTCTTGTTTTACCAGTAGATGGGTCATCAACTGTTCTATTGTCCCTCATAGACGGAACAACTACGACATAGTATGTGCATTTGTACAGAGTGCCTCCTGGCCACCCGATAGCTCTTCGCGGATAGCTAGCGATCTTGATGCTCACTCTAGCATTTCCCTAGTATCCAACACACTTGGCTTCACCGCCTCTTGTTGCCTGCATCACGTTTACTACCCGCTTGGCCTCCATCCTTGGTCTGGTGGGGTGGGGTACCTTCGAAATGGCCCACTTGCCCGGCCACTCACACTATTTGTTATATTTACATCCAATAGTATGAGTTGCTAAACGTGTCTGGACACTATTTAGTGCTAGAGCAACCGTGCTGGGCTGCAGGAATTGCTGTGGTTCCGTCCAATCAGCTTCGATAATTTGGCCTATTTCGGCCAATCAAATGGCTTGGGGACCAAGTGATAATATTGGCAAAAAGTTGGGGACCAATTGATAATATATCGCCAAAATTGGGACCAAGTGAAAAATACTCGTTATTATTGATCTGGTTGTGTTGGTCCTGCGGTGCAACTGTCAGCGTTTTCTTTCTCCCTGCAATGGGACGAGCTGTATGTGCTCCAACAAAGCACGGAATCAATCCAAGTGCTGTGAAGGACGAGTGCAAACTTTTCGACCCGATGATCTCGCTCGGAACTAGCGCGCTGTGAACAAGAAGCGAGCAGCGCCTACACATATTAGTACAATTGTACCGTACTTGCACAATTGTGCACGGGGTAAAGGATATGTTTACCCCTGTTTGCGCTGTGGTGTTATTAATAAGTATCAAGTTGTGATCAGATGGAGCAACGTTCTTGGAGGTGGCCATGTAATCAAGTTGATCAAATGACTGTGGCCAAGAAAATGGTGCCGCGCAGAGCGTCGATGTTTACCGATACGTGTCGTCAGATTTCAATACCTAGTTGGCACGTTACCAAGACGGTAGTTTTATCAAGGCCATATATTTATGGCCTTGGTTTTATGAACGTCCAGACTGCAAGGGAATATTCCCTTCCTGATGTGAGCCGCCGAAATGTTTTTAGCTTCATACTAGTATATTAACTTAAGTCATAGTAGTTTAGTGTATAGCACGAATAGTTGGACGCTTATAACTTAACACTCGACACCGCGGAGGGACTCGCACGGGTCGGCAGGGGACATCAAGAGGTCGTACGCGGTGCTGTCGTGGCGCCGGTACGATTTGCGGCTTCGGACGTTGCCAATCTCGGGAAAGAGCCGCGCGCGGTCTTTCAGAGCGAGTGGCACCACTTCGGCGATCCCCAAGTCGATCTTGAGGTCGTTGATGCGGTAGACACCTAACCCCATCATCGTAATATCAGTCAGGTGTCCTATATGAGCCGCCAGTGTACCTAGATCCTGCATCAAGCACGGGTTCTCGTGCCACCAGCCATCTTGGCTCTCAATCTTGTCGCGTAGAAAACGCGCGACGCGGGCCGTCACAATGATCTGACCGCCACTGCCGAGGTCGCTGACTTCGCGACCAATCATCTCGGCCAAACCCACGTACGTGGTGCGCTGGGTCACCGGGTGGACGTTGGTAAAGAGCTGACCTTCTTCAGAGCTCGATGCGTGGATACCCATACGTACGCGGAGACCGCGAAAGAGGTACGGGTGCTTGTGCCGCGTGGGAAGCACCGACGGCTTTGGCATCGCAACCGTGATGCTGCCGGCGAGGTACGACTCGATCAGCTCGATCGGCCACGGCACATGCAGAAGCTGCAGCTGAACGTCCAAGCAGTAGGCAACCGCGTCTGGGATTGAGTGGAATGCGAGCTGGAACGCGTCACCGCACGTCGTGATCTCGTAGCCTTGGTGCTTGACGAGGAGTGATCGTAGGAGGTCGTCGTGGAGCTCCTGCGCGGCGTGCATGGTTTGCCCGAGCTGCCCCCAGAGGTAGCTCGACGACTCAATGTCTGTGTTGACAAAGACGGGGTTTTGCATGGGCGCGTGCGCCACGGAGGCGGCCCAGTCACCGTACCGACTGCGGGTCCGCGTTGCGTCGCGCGACCGCATGCACGCCGTGCAGCAGTCTTGGCTCGCGACCATGACGAGCGCGAAAAAGAGACCCGAGGCGAAGTAGAGCAGCTGCGTGATGCCCAGGAGCGCATCCGGAATCGTCTCGGCCGCGTCGCCGGCCGCCGAGACGCCGTACCAGTTGACGACCGTGAACGGCAAGGAAAACATCATAAAGACGATCCTACGCACGTCAAACGTGAGATACGAGCAGACGTAGTGACAAGATACAAGATGCGCTTGAGGCGGCTGTAGAGCGGTGACTGCTCGATCTCGCCGCTTACGCCTTCAAACTTTTGGCCGTGTTGGCGCAGGCTCACCATGCTATATCGGCATGAGCGCTTGCGAATCCTCGACAGGTGCCAGGTACCCAAAAGCGACTGCGATGATGACGATCGTCTGCATGATGTTGGAGACGATGTTGATGAGCTTTGTGTTGTTGGAGAAGAGACCGCCTTTCGAGAGCACTTGGCAAAGCTATGCAGCCACGCATGAGTCTCCAGATGACTGTCGCAGTCGGTGCGTACGACAAAGTAGAGCGCGACGATAAGCGTCGTCGAGACGAGGTAGTTGCGGCGCACTTGCTTTTCACGGAGCGGGCCGCGGTCCATCGTCTTCTTCTACGCACATTGTCGTATGAGCCTCCAAGATCGCCACATTTGGCAAGTGCAAAGTACCGCAAGGCGCGTGAGCTCGAGGACCAAGATGAGCATCCATAGAACACCCGAAAGTAACGCTGCGTCGCCAAGGAACAAGATCCACACCACGTACGTCGGGACAGGGATGCTCGAGTCGCCCGTCGCATTGTACGTGCGCTGGCCAAGCAGCCGTAGGCTGCCTACGTCGTTGGCTGCAGTGCGGTTGAGCCAAGGCGACGAGGGCGCGCGGAACTCGGCGAGGAACGCGCACATGAGCGCGGTCCGCGACAGCGCAAAGAGCGACTTCCACACAAAGTACCAAAGCGTCGCATAGTAGACACACGACTGGATGGCACAGAGCGACCGCTTGAGCGACCACACAGCAAGGGACGTAGCAGTTAGCGAGATGAGGAGCACGACGAGGTAGACCGAAGTCCAGACCGGGAAGAAGCCGTCGTCGGCCATGTGCGTCGTGGAGAGAAGGCCGAATGATGCGCCAGGCGCCTGCAAGAACAGCTTGGACACGCCATGTCTAATGCCACTTTATGGCTTCGAACTTCGTTTTGACCATATTGAAACATCGCAAGAACCATATTGAAACGGCACATGGACGCGACAGGGCGGGCGTGCCACCATGCGCGTTCGTCGCCGCACCAGTTTACCTCGCGCGAGCCAGCGTGCGCGTAACAACCGACCCAAGCCACCCGCACGCGTGGCGACCAGCTGGGATAAGATATGGGCGTTTGCAGTTGGATATGGAATCCCATTCGGCATCGTGATTACGACCAATTTTCGACTTCATCATGGCGCGAAAGCGTGTCCGCACCAAGCAACCCTCGCAAGCACCGCGTATACGCAGATGCGACGTGCGCCAAGCATACGAGTCAGCGTCCATTGCACGCACGCCACGCGGGCCAGGACGCGGCGTCCATAGGGACAAAAATCGGCGCCGCCTGTCCACGAAAGAATCCTCCCACGTGGACGGTCCGCAAAGCCAAGCTATGACGCTGCAAGTCGCGCGATCGTTCTTCGCTGTCCATGTTGGGGCAGTAGCCACTTTATAGTACAATTGTTTTGTCGTATTACTCCATCATCAACTGTCTACACGACCCGGGCGATTACGTGGCGTGAGGAGCGTCCACGACTTGACACTCTCACCACGACGACGAGAATACCAATACATACTAAATTACTATACTTCTATTCGACTAGACTAGACTAAACGCGCGAGCGTATCTCGTGGCGAGCCAACGAGGCCGTACGCGGTGCTATCGTGCCGCGTATACGACTTGCGACTTTGCACATTCGCAATCGATTGAAAGTGCGCGCGGCGATCTTTGAGCGCCAGCGGCAGCACTTCGGCCAGACCCAAATCGATCTTGAGGTCTGCGACGCGGTAGACCCCTACACGCAGCACATTAGCGCGGTAGAACGAGATAGAAGGAGCTCGTACCGAGATCTTGCACGACGAACGGGTTGGCGTTGCTCCACTCGGTATCGGCCAGCGCTTGCGACTCGAGCCACTTGGCGATCGGGGTCGTCACGACGATCTGCCCGCCGTTGCCGAGATCGCTGACTTCGCGCCCAATGAGCTCCGAGAGACCGACGTACGTTGTCCGGTGCGTCACCGGGTGCACTTGGTGGAAAAGCTGGCCCTCGGCTTCGGACGCTGCATGGATCCCCATGCGCACGCGGATGCCGTGGAATAAATACATGTGCTTGGGCTTTGTCAGCGGTACGTGCTTGGTGCGGATCGAGACAGTAAGACTGCCGGGAAGACCCGAGTCGACAAATTCGACGGGCCACGGCTGGTTCATGAGCTCCAACTGGACATCCAAGCAGTAGGCAACAGCGTCCGCAATGGACTGGAACGCGAGCTGGAACGCGTCGCCGCAGGTCGTGATCTCGTACCCATGGTGCTTGACAATCAGCGATCTTAGGAGGTTGTCGTGAAGCTCTTGGGCGTCGTGCATGGTCTGGCCAAGCTGGCCCCAGAGCAAGCTTGAGGATTCAATGTCGGTGTTGACAAAGACGGGGTACGCAACCGGGGACTGCGCGTGCTTGGGGCTCGGCGATAAGTGGAGTTGGGCCGTGCGCACTTCGTCCGCGGGCAAGAGACACGCGTAGCAGCACTGTTGGCTTCCGACCATGACGATGGCAAAGGCTAGACCCGACGCAAAGTACAAAATCGTTGCGATACCGAGAAGCACGGACGGACACTCAGTATCGAGAAGCGAGCAAATGAGCGAGAGCCACGTCATGGCAATGTACGGAAGCGACATGATGCAGTAGACTGAGCTACAAGAGGCGTGAGGTGCCAGCATACACACGAGTACGATCGTACAGGATGCGCTTGAGACGCATGTAGAGCGGCGACGTCGTGAGCTCGCCGTCGACGCTTTCAAAGTTGCGGCCGCGTCGGCGCAAAAACCACATCCTACACGTAGGCGTAGTCAGCATCCATGCACGATAAAGCAAAACGCCACGTACGCCGTGGCGACGAGCAGGATGACGCCCGATTGAATCGAAATCGCAGTAATGAGCACCGACTTGAACCGCCCCGAGTAAAAGCTCACAGTCATCGTGTTGGGCATCGTGCCTTCCGTGCGCCCCGTCGAGAGCACGAACGAGAGCTAGTGCATTAGAATATGTTGTAGCGTCATCCCCACAATAGACAGCGCACGTACCGCAAAGTACGAAAGCACAAGGACCATGATGGCGGCGCCATAGTACTTGATTGTGCGGGCTTCGCGGATCGAACCGCGGTCCATGGCCTTGCGCGCCAAGCGCACGAGCTCCAGCACGAGCACGAGCATCCAAAGCGCGCCTGCAATGAGTGCGGCGTCGCCAATGAGGAGGAACCACATGACGACGTTGGGCGGCGCGTCCAAGGTTGGATCGTTGGAGCTGTCGGTGAGCGGGCTAAAGGCGCTCACGTCGCGGAGGCTATCGATCTCCATCCACGTCGAGTTGGCCTGGAAGAACTGGTCGACGACAGCGGCGAGGACGACCGCGCGCGTGAGCGAGTAGACCGTGCGTGAGATAAAGTACGCGTATGTGGCGTAGAAGACGCAGGTTCGGATGCGCCGCTTCAGGCGGAACATGGTGTACACGGCCATGGACGTCGCGATGAACGAGACGAAGAGCACGAGCACGTAGATGAGGCTCCATATTGGCAGCATCGTCGTCTATTCCTGAAATGCTGCTCGGGTTGATCCTTGTGGTGGCCTCCTGCAAGGCCATTGGCTAAAATGTCAAATTATTGAGCCATACGCAATGCGACATGTGCTGTCCGTGTCGCAACGTCGCGAGACCTTTGAAGCGTTGGGACTTGCAAAGGTCGTTTTTTGGACCTCATTCGGGCCGCTCGACCCCACAGTCAAGGACTCGAGTAGGCTCTGCAGTCGTCTCCACGAGGCCTACGAAGGCTACCGACCTAGAGACTCTTTGGCACCTGCAAACGACATTAGAGATTCGCACCGTCTTCGAATCGGCTTGAATAGCCAGTGTCTTGATCACCCGAGAGGCGGTGCAGCACCTAGGGACTTCTGTTATTAGTTTACGGCTTCCGTGCGCCTCCTTCACCGTTTCTCCGCTCGGTCGTGCGGTCGACGCCAGGTGCCTATTTGCATTTCACAGTCGAGGTGTCAACGCCATTGTGTACAGTATATCAAGGTACATGAGATAGCTACTTGATGCTACAGTACACGCTGTAGCTACTCGACGTGTAATATCAAGCTCTCGCTTGTCTGTGCTTGATGCAGTGATGCCGTAGAGGCACAGTGGGAGGTCATGTCTTGTGGGAGAATGAAGTATCTGAAGCGCACACGATGGGTCGTCGTCGGTCTCACGATCGAGTGAGTCTCGAATCGACGGCCTTTCTTTGCTAGCTCTGACCAACACGACGTGTATACTTCCGGACTTGCCCAAAACAAAAGTGGATACAATAATAAATAAGGCGTCGAGAACGACTAGACAAAGATGGCGACTTCACGCGGTGAGCGCACGAGGCCATAGCGCATGCTCTCGGACGGCTCGTACGACGTGCGGCTTTGCAAATTGGCAATCGAGCCAAAGTGTGCGCTTCGCTCGCGCAGCGCCGCGGGGACGACTTCGGCGATCCCGAGGTCGATTTTGAGATCCGAGATGCGATAGACGCCTACATACCGGTATGAGTGGCGGTTCAACACCGTTAGGATTGTTTGTCCTACCCATGTCTTGGACGGCGAACGCGTGATCTTGCGCCCATCGCGAGTTCTTGCTGGCTTCGGTTTCGAGCCACTTGGCGATCGGCGCCGTCACGACGATCTGTCCGCCATGGCCCACGTCGCTGACTTCGCGCCCAATGAGCTCCGAGAGACCGACGTACGTTGTCCGGTGCGTCACCGGGTGCACTTGGTGGAAGAGCTGGCCCTCGGCTTCGGACGCTGCATGGATCCCCATGCGCACGCGGATGCCGTGGAATAAATACATGTGCTTGGGCTTTGTCAGCGGTACGTGCTTGGTGCGGATCGAGACGGTGAGGCTGCCGGGAAGACCCGAGTCGACAAATTCGACGGGCCACGGCTGGTTCATGAGCTCCAACTGGACATCCAAGCAGTAGGCGACGGCGTCTGGGATGCAGTGGAACGCGAGCTGGAACGCGTCCCCGCAAGTCGTGATCTCGTACCCGTTGTGTTTGACAAGGAGCGACCGGAGAAGGTTGTCATGGAGCTCCTGGGCGTCGTGCATGGTCTGGCCAAGTTGGCCCCAGAGCAAGCTCGACGACTCAATGTCCGTGTTGACAAAGACCGGGTGCTCCAATGGCGCGTCCGTATTTTGGGACGCTTGCGTGACAGTGAGCCGCGTCTCGTTGGACGGACCGAGGCATGAATTGAAGCATTCTTGGCTGCCAACGAGAACGAGGGCAAAGACGCAGCCGGATGCATTGAAGAGCACGATGGACGAGCCCATGAGCCAGCGCGGCATAAAGTTACCGGGTGCGTCGCTTGCGAGCATGAACCAGCCCACAATGAGGTACGGGAGCGACGTGGTGATGTACACCGTTCTACACAAACTGCTCAAACTTCGTTCGATGATGACACGGAGCGTACAAGATGCGCTTGAGGCGCAAATATAGCGGCGACTGGATCACTTGCCCGTCGACGGACTCGAACTTGCGGCTGTGCGACCGGAGGTAGTAGACCCTGGTCGTTTGTGAGCTTGTTGAACAAAAGGAAAAAGAAACGCACCCGGCCGTGACGGTGCCAATGACGAGCGCTTGGAGGACGTTGGAAGTGACGAGGACGGCGACGTACCGGCCAGTCCAAAAACCTGGTCCATCGATCGCAAAGGAGAGCTAGGGGCAAAAGAATCAGTGGGTTTCCACATCGATGGAGAGGCGTACGATGGTGTAAATGCCAACAATGACGACGTTGACTATCGTGTAGCGCTTGAACGTCCATTTCTCTTGGAACGAGCCGCGGTCAAGGGATTTTTTCTATGTTGTCAGTTGATGAGGATCAATGTAGGACGACACGGGCAGTGTACCGCGAGCTTGATAAGCTCGACGACGAGCACGAGCATCCAGAGCGCGCCCGAGACGGTTGCTGCGTCGCCAAAGAAGACCATGATGATAACCTCAGTCGGTGGATCCTCTTTCCCGTTGGGCGACTCGTCGTGGCGGAGGAGACGAAAGCCGCCAGCATCATGGTACGAGTCCAGGTGCAGCCAGGCAGACGATTCGTTCCCGACAAACTGGTCGATAAAGAAGATCGAGACGACGCTCCACGCGATTGCATGCACGCTGCGCGAGACGAGGTAGGCAAAAGTCGCGCGGAAGACGCACGACTGCATATACTTCATCGAGTGGTGCATGGACCAAAGCGCCATGGCCATGCAGGAGAAGGACAGGACGAGCGCGAGGAGGCCCAGGATCGTCCAGATTGGCAGCATCTCGGTTGTGTGCCGGTTGGCCAGCCAACGTTACACTGAGCTCCCATAAAAAGGTCAGTGCCAAGCGTCGCAATCAGTTGCCGTGCCAGCTGGGCATAGCCATCCATCATTCTTGCTCAATTTTGTCCCGGCGATTGCCTTTACACATGTGTACGGCCGACTACCGGTGCACGCCGGGCGCATGTAATACGAACGGTGTACTGTAGTACCTGACGCGAGGAGCGACTGGAAAGCAGCCGCCAATGCGCACACATATTGGTATCCCCGTAGAAGACGGAGCGTGGGATTCCTCGGGAGTCTTTTACCAAACCACCATGGCGACGAAGATGCAGTCTAACGGTAGTTTGCTCCGCGCCAGCTTGTGTTTCGCATCTGCTGATACACTGGGTGCACTCACTTGGGTACGAGTTTGTTTGTCGCTGCTGGGGATGTGGCCATAAATTGATGTGGCCGTGAGGGAGAGTCTTCGGTGCGAGTCGTCGTCAAAGCTACTCCTTTGCGGCGACGACAGTGATCTTGTACCGTATTAGGAAGCGCGAGGCGTCGCCGCGGATGCGTTGGTGCTACTAATCCATCCTTTCTGTTGACAGTGCTTGCACGCGCATTTTTCGCGGCCACTGGACGCTACTGTTACGTCGATCATCCGTACTCAAGTAATGTCAGCGAGGACATCCAGCCAGGCATGAGTACCGAGTTGCGAAGACCGCAATCGCCATCAGCTGTGTCGCAAACGTCAACTTCACCGCCTTTGTCTCTGTTCGGTCCTTCGAAGCAATTCCTTCTTCCTTCCTCCCCTCTGAATGACAAAAGAATGCAGCTCGCATTCGACGGCCTGGCTCTGGACGATGGGCAACCAAGACGCTGCGATCGTACAAGCGCAAGCGATGACACGCCCGGCTGGTCGCACCAGATCGCTCTCCGACCAGCTGCGATAACGCGAGCCGTGGCACCACAAAGAACATGACTTTGTGTTCCCGACTCTTCTCTTGCGCTATCCAATGTCATGCCACAGCGAGTGACCAGGCGAGTGGGAGAGGTACTATATAGTAGCGTTGATTTGGCACGAGAATTGATTTCGGCTCGAAACTGCTACGGCTGCTGCGGAAATAAGGTGAAGCTGCTGCGCCCAGTGCGCTGTCGACGCCATCTTTGCCGCCTCGCGTTTGTTTACACCGTCCAAGCGTCGCGTGTCGCGGAGCACGTGGCGCGAAAACTGAAACGCGATGTTGCGTGCGGTTAGCCTTATGACAGCATCCGGATGACAACCGGCGCAAAGATCTCGAGAAACCGATCAACGTCGAGCAGCAAGACGAGCATGGGCGGGCTGCTGTACTGGACGACGCTGGCCGTCGGCGCGGCCATCGCGCTCCGATGGGTAGCATCTGCATGGAGGACGAGGCCGAGGAAGAGGGTCGTCTCATGGACGCTTCCTCGTAGGGTCTCGAAGCCGGGATCAACCTCGCGCTCCGGCGATCGTCGCGTAGGCGACTGCAGCCTCGCCGACTCATGCAACCCTGACCTAGGTCTATGGACCAGCCTCAAGCTCGACGAGGAGACCATGCTGAACGTCCAGGTGCACCCCGTGCGCATCCGGCTGTGGAGCCTCCTATGGGCCTTTGCCAAGGCGCCGAGCCAAGCCATGCTCGTGCGCCTCGTCGTCTCGGCGGTCTCGGTCCAGATCAACCGCACGAGCGAAAAGGCTCCTCGGCAGGTCCTTGCCCATGTTCTTCCACCGGATGCGTCGCTGGCTTGGATCGCTAGCCTCCATGACCCGACCCATGCGCTCTGGGCCGTGGTGCTGCCGCTCGTGCAGCGCTTTGGCGTCGTCGCTCGCTTCGTGCATCTTCTCGGCATTTCGATAGCCAACATTTCGCTCTCGCTGCAGGAAAATGGCCAAGACATTATCCAGATACAGGTACGGCGATTGCGCCGATGCCGGTGACGCTTCACAAGTCAAGTCGTAGCGCGCGAGTTTGGACGTCCAGCTTCGGTTGAACGTGACGAGCCACGACCTTCTTTTCTGCGCCACCGTTGCGCGCGATCAACCCATGGAGGTCGTTGTTCGCGGCGCTCGCATGCAGATGCAAGAGGTGCAGCTCAAAATCGCAGTGCCACTCTCGCGTGATCGTCATGACCTTCGGGTGCCGCTACCTCACGAGGTGGCAATTTCGGGCCGCGATCTGCAGGTGTCCATCACAGACACTGCGCTACTCGCTGCGTTCTCCAAGCCCCCCACTCGTGTGGCAGCGTCGGCGTCTCCAGGCATTTCCGAAGATGACTGGCACCGACTCTTGAAATACGATTGGCTGGCGCTTCTTCCCAAGGTCACAACGCTTGCGTGGTCGTCTGTACATCTCGAGGTGCGCCACAAGGTAGACAATGTGCTCGATGTGACCGTGGCACGACTGGTCGCAGCCAGCAACCACCATCGCCAGACGACGAGTGAGTCGTTCATGGGACGGACGTGGGCGATTGAAGTCGGACCTGTGAGTGCAACGCTGAACGCATTGCCACTCGCTTCTATTGCGCCGGCAGCCATTTGGCTTGATATCCACCCGCGCGCAGGCGGAACCATCGACTTGAAGCTCTCGGGTGAAGTCAAGCACCTGCATACGACGCTAACTGACCAACTCGAGCCGTGGGTCGCCCTCGCCGCCTCACTCGCGCCGCCTACATCACTGCAGGCGTCTTTGCCCATCTACAGTCCGTGGACACTCGATGTCCAAGTCAAGCTCGTGCAAACAAAGCTACAGACCGTTCCGCGAACAGCACTAGCACTCAGTGACCCGTCCTACGGAGCGCCGCCTCTGGATGTACGTCTCGACGACTTGCATGTGTCTGTGTTTCCCACGACAATGGTCGGTGTACGGTCGCTGGTGGAGCTCCGTCTTTGCCGTCTCAGCATCTGGACGACGAACGAAAAGCACATCCTGTCGGTTGACAGCACACGGCTCTTTCTCGGGCCACTGGACTCTATTTTGCACGGCCAGACCAAGCCCGCTGACGTCGAGATGGAGGCCGAGTGGATTCAAGTCACCTACTCACCCGCCGCATTGCAAGCTGTCGGTGGTGCCTTCCATCTTGGCCTCTTTGTTGCCCAGGCGCCGCTGCGAAAAGTTTTTGCCCGCCCAAAACCCATGAGTCCGTCACTCGTGCCCGACATGCGGCCGCTTGGCGAAGTCTGTAGCGACGACACGCGGCTGTACGTACACGTCAACTTTCGCGGAGCCATCAAACGCATTGTCGCCATCTTTCCGACAACATGCGCAGGCCACACGACGATGGAGCACGTGAGCATTGACCACATGAGCATTGAAACCGAAGCCAACAGCGCACGCTACCGGCTTCACTTTCGACACATCAAGGCACTGACGCCCCCGGCCGTCACGCCGTACTTGAGTGTCGCCGACTTTGCAATCGAAGAGACGCCGGTCCGAGACATGTCGGTCGTTGATCTCTATGGGCGCCGCATCGTCGTGCATTGGGATCTTGCGCTACAGCTGCGGCTTCTAGTGCTGGTGCAAGACGTCACACTCGCGTCCTACAACATGCTCTTTCAGCTCTTCCACACGTACACGACGTTCGTTGCGCCACGTCATTCCAAGTTCAAGCTCGGTGTGAACACTCCAATGGACGACTTGACAGCGTACGAAGCGGCGCTTGTAAAGCTCGCTTCTTTGACAAGTGCGTCTGGAGACAAGTTGCATAGGCTCCAGATCGCGACGATCGCTGTGACGATGACGCCTTACGACCTAGAGCTGCGTATGGACAGCTTTGGCGGCGCCGACCTCCCAGATCTCTGGTCGTTTGCAAACATCACAGTGCAGTGGCAAAACGAGCTGCTGCTCTCGGTCAAGGCCATCTCGGTCCGACGGACGCTCGACCGCCGACCCGATTACGTCTTTGGCGAGTTTGAAGCTATGCTTCGGCAGCGGCAGAAGATTGTCGCCCCCACGACAGAGCGCATTGGAAGCGAAGGCCTTTTGATCGGCCTCAACGGACTCGAAGTCCGGCTTGTGTACCGGTTTTTTGTGCCGCTCTCAGAGCTCGTGTCCACGTTCCAGCTCCATGCGGCTGGTCTTGTCACCGCGCTTCAGCAAGAGCTCGCAGTCTATTGGCGTCCGCAGTCGGCACTGGCGTATACCTACTTTGCCAAGATTGCCGAGCCCACGCCGCCAGTGATTTGGCTTGACATCCATGACGTCGCTGTCGTGGGCTTGGACCACCCTATGGAAGTGTGGCTCGCCCAAATGTACCCGATCTGGATGGACGACCTCGCAGAACAAGAAGTGCGCCGCCAGATTGTCGAAGAGCAGTGGCACAGCCTCAAGCTCACAAATGCCGACATGCTCGCCTTGGAGACCTACCAAGAAATGACCAAGGTGCGGCTCGAGAAGAACGCGACGCTGTACATCCAGCGCGTCAAGCAGCGTCCGTCTATCGTACCGCGACCCCGGTTGCGTTTGCACGTGCAGAGTATTGTCGGCTCGATCACGATCGCCTCCGACGACGACCCGAGCTCGATCCGACGTCTAAAGGAGCTCGACGAAGCTTCCGACGCCGTCCATCGAGCGCTCCGGGAACCGCCACATGAAACCACGTGCTTTCGCCCGTCGTTTGACTTTTTGATTGCCATGGTGCTGGACATGAGCGTCGACGCCGTCGTCGTCGAGCTTCGAGATCATACGCCGCTTTTGGTGCACCAGGTGACAGTCCGGGGCAACGTGATTCTCGCGCAACCCACGAGCACGAAAGTCATGTCGAAAGCGCACACTGTCTCCATCGGGCCTCATTTGGAGCTCCAAGTCGAGACTTCGACAAGTCCGCTCAAGCTCTTTTTCGACCTTGACGTTGTCTTGCGCGGAACCGCGGTGTCGTACACCCCACGAATGAACGCGATCTTTGCCGAGGTGTTTCAAGATCTGCAGCGCGCCTTATCGCTTGTCGTGCCGAGCGCGGCGTACTGGGATGCAATTCGCGGCTTTCTGCACGGTAAATGCCACGTGCGCCTCGACGAGACAACGGTCAAACTGTTTGGCGCCAACCAGGAGCACGTGTTGCTCAGTCTCCACGCAATCGACGTCGTGTACAGTCACCAAGACGTGGTCCTCCAAGTGGCAAAGCTGCGCTGCCGCATCGAGCCCATTGGATTCGGTAACGTCGTCGATGTCCACCGCATCCACTGCCACATCCGACTCGATTGGGGCTGCGACAGCGTCGTGCACTACGTGACGCCCCGTGAGTTTACCTACTTGGACGCCCATCGCCAAGTGCAACGGTTCGTTTTGGAGCCGCAGCCGAGCGCGTTTACGTCGTCGGGTCTGCATGTGCATATGACGGTGCAAGTGACGACAAACGACCGAAACGAGATGCCGTCGGTTCTGCTGTACGGCACGACGGTCGAGTGGCTCCTCCACTTTGCTATGCAGTATGCGCGCGCATTTGGCAACCCGAGCTTCACGCGCCGACCGCATGTCGTGCCCATGATTTCTCTGCGTGCGATTCTCGGCCATCTCCAGACATGCACGGTCGAGGCAGTCGAAATCGCGGGTCTCGATATGGCGCTCTACTACAGCGACCAGAGCCCTGAAGGGTGTCGCTGGAGCCTGCGTGACATTTTCTTGTCGCTTGGCGCGACGCGCGGCCTCGTCAAGACTCTCGCCGAGTCGCTCAACGACCACGTGGTGTCGGTTCTTGACATTGCGTTCCACGATGTGGTGTTTGGCGTCGCCGAAGTGCATTGGCGAGTGTGCACGCTCGCCACTGGGTCGCGCGGCGAGTCATTTGTTGACCTCGGTGCGCTGCATGTTGAAATGGAGAAGACGCGCAACGCGTCCATCGCGCCGCTGGCCGACGCCCGTCGGGCTCGAATAGCTGCGCGTTTGCACGCGGCCCCCTCAGCAGCGGTCCTCGTACCGGCGACGTCGTCTCGGGCTCAAAAGTCCATCATGGAGTTCTTTGACATCAAGGGCGACGAGCATTTGCTCAAGCACCGACCCGATACGATGGCGTTCGAAGCCGAGGTGTCGACGGTCATGCAAGAGGCGGCGCCGACATCGCACGAGGTCCTCGGACACGGGTGTCTTCTCAGCGTTTTGCTGGACGCGCCGAGGATCCTCGTGACGCTCGATACACTCGAAACCCTCTTTGAGATTGGCAGCGCATGGATACAGTTTTTACGAGAGCACGTGCCCGAGCTCTTCCGCGTCTCGATCGACGCGGTGCGCGCTTACGAAGCAACAACGTCGCAAGCCGGTGCGTCTACACGCGATTTTGAAGTGGTGATTGTGTGTTCTAGCGACACCGGTCGCTGTGCCCAAGAAAGACGAGCCGTCGCTCTTGGAGCTGCTTGAGAGTACTCCAAATGATTTACGCAATACCTCTTGACCGATGTATAGGCAAAAAACGGGGTGTGCGCGTGAGCTCGACCAGCGATACGCGCTCGGAGGACTCGACACTGACGGGCTCCAAAGGCGAGGATCGTTCTCGGACACTGTTTCGTATCCAGCTCGTGGATCTGCAAGTGTTTGCCCAAGATACACAGCACAAGGTAGTGCTACATGTAGCACCGAACATCGGCTGCTATAATGGATGGTTTAGGGCGGTGTCCTCTTTGCCATTCCGTCGGCGACGATCAGTCACGCTGTCGACTTGGACGCAAACACGGAGCACGTGGACATTCTTATGCGTGGTGTTCTCCTCTACACGTCGTCGCTGGATGTGGATGTCATGCACCGGCAATGGCTCAAGCGCAAAGCGCCCGACGGCTACTGCGACAGCTCGACAGCGCTTTTGCGCAAGGTCGTGCACGCGACCGAGTCCCAGCACTGTGCCATCACCGTCACACACGCGCTTCCTACCCTACATCAGATCCACGTCACGATTCCATGTGTCGACGCGACGTTGGATCTTGAAAGCAAGCAAATTTTGCTCGACCTCGCGGTTGCCTTTACCCATGCCGTACAAGAAAAGGTACGCGGTGTTCCATTGCCCATTGTATGGATGTACACACCCTGTGGTAGATGGCCAAGGCGAAACACGATGTTTTGGTGCAGGCCATGCTTCAGCACTTGACGCCCGACAGCGCGTATGGGACACTCTCACTGCCGGTACCCACGCTTGTCGGTACTGAGATTATGACCTATGGCTACAGCAACTCTGGCACCAACAACGCGACACCCAGTGGCAGATCCAGCAGCTCAAATGGCAGCAAGCGTGTCGGTTCGGCTACAGCCTCGCCACGCAAGATCGTTTCCACGAAGCCGATCGCTCGACATCAGCGACGACCGACGGGGCTCGACGTCGGCGGCTCTCGGCCCACAGCTCGGCCGTCTCAAGTGACGTTGTTCGCAACGACGACGGGGGCAATCGGGCGTTAGATGCACTCCAAGCCACGCTGGACCGACTCTTGACGGCCGTCGCCGCAAGTTACCAGGCGTACCGCAAGTCGCTCCAAGTGCGCCCGACGATCGAGCTATCGTTTCATCTCGCCCGTGCAACGCTTTTGCTACGCAGCCCCAGTGTCTCGCTCCTTCAGATCGTGCACACGGGACTTGTGTTGAGTTTGTCGCAGTTTGAAGACCAGTCGGGCACCCTCTCGTGCACGATTGCGGGGCTCTCAGCCGCCAACTTGCTACCACAAACACCGTATCCGGAGCTCCTTGGACGCGCCGCTACGACAAGTTCCGACCACTTGTTAGACGCCGACACGATCGTTCGCATTGACGCCGAGATGGCGACGCCCATCGGCGGCATCACGGTGCTTCAGCACTTTGAAGTGAATGTGCAGCCGCTCCAAGTGTGCTTGACGTACGACCTCATTGTGCAACTTGCAGCGTTTTTCGGGGGCGACCGCGCACGTCGCGACGACGCTGAAGCCGAGATTCGCCATCAATTTTTGCCGCCGTCCGTCATGCGGCCCTTCCGGAAGCCGCGCAAGTCGATGGCCGAAGCCGCCAAGACCGAGTGGGCCGACGACCAAGAGCGCGAGGTGGCCGAAATGACGGACCGCGCGACCAAGAACATGACCTTCAAGCACATTCGACTTGGGACGATCCAGATCTTGCTGAGCTACAAGAGTATGCTACTTGGTACAAGCGAGAATGAGCATACAATTCTCGTAGGTGGCAAGTCGGTGACGCAGCCCCAGCAGCACCTCGAAGACATGCGCGGCTTTGACCTCAAGATCCATGCGCTTGTGTACACGGACAAGACATGTACCCTCGACGACCTCTTCCTTCGCATTCGCCGCGACATCATCCTCGACATCCTCTCGCAAGTCGGGCGCAACTTCAACAACATTGGGCTTCTACTCAAGGAGAAGCTGGACCTCTCGCGCTGGGCGGGCCTCGAGTTTCCCATGAAGAGTCTCTCGCAGTCCATGGCGAGTACGACGACGTCGCCAGACCGTACCTTCCAGCTCGAGCTGCCGACGGACGCGAGCAGTGGGTCTCCAAAGAAGATCAAACCGCGCTTTAGCTTCTTGAAGCCGAAAAAGGCAAAGCCTGCGAAGGAAGAAGCCATCTCCATGGCGTCACCGCCGACCAGTCCATCCACATAGAAAACATGCAGCTGGATTAGGTTAATGATGATGATGATGATCGCAAGCGTGGGTTACAAGCCGCCGGCCGCCGTCTTGTTGCGACTTTCCGTCCATGCCTTGGCGATCGTGCGCTTCATTTCCTCGTCGCCTTCGTCGTACATGTTCTTCATCATGTCCATGATGCCAGCCGAGGGGTCCGACGGGTTGGCCTTGGCCGCGCTGGCAGCTCCCGGGTTTTTGGCTGTGAGGTTCGACCACGTGTTCTTCTCGTCGGCCTTCCACAGCGTGATCGTCACGCGATTCTTCTTGAAGAGAAACTTGGACTTCTTCGGGTCAATCTCCTTGTCGAGATGGTAGCGCACGAGGCGGTAGTTCTTGCCGCGGAGTTGTTTGATCTTCAGGTCAAAGCTGTGCTTGGTAAAGTCGCACGTGACCTGCGAAGCGGGGAGCTCGCCGACCCCATCGATACCCGACGTGATGTACACCATGACCTTGGGCTTGCCGTAGCCTTCGTCTTCCCAGCCAAAGGTCGACACTTCCGTGTACACCTCCGTCTCGGCGATGCGGGGAGGCGCGTAGACTGTCGGCGTCGGAGCAGGGGTTGCCACCGGGGCTTGTGCTTGCGTCTAGGCCACATCATGAGACTACATGCATGCACATACACAGGATCGCCTACCTTGGCCAAGTCCATCTCCTTGGCGCGGAGGAGCGCGGTCAGGTCCGCGGCCAGGCGCGGGGACTTGACGGTCGCGAGGAGGCTCTGCAGCTCCTGGATATCGTCCATGATGTCGTTCGTGAGCATGGCAAATGCGGAAGTGAGCTGCGGCGGCGTGAACCGCTTCGAATTTCGAGAAAAAGTCCATGGCGGTTGTGATTGGTTGATATCTTTAAATATAAAATAGTGTTGTCAAAGATACTACATACAAAATGCAAGATACCACGGATACCAAATTTGTACACCAAATCAGGCATACAATCACACTATATACTGCTAGTGAGCTGGCAGCCTCAAATCGCTCGTCGAGGTGCACCAGCACCGCAACAACGCACCACAACTCTTCAGATGCATGTAAAACAACTTGATTTAAACATTTAAACGACCAGCCTAGTCGGCATGGGGCTTCTTCGCCACAGCGGCCGCGTGCTTGTCAAAGTGCTTCATTTGGAGGTAGCCGTACACGTACATAAGTGGCACGAGGGTCCACCGAAGAGCGGGGATCGTCGGGAAGAAGAGTGTCGCGACGTACCGCGTGAGCCAAGCGCCAGCGGGCGCGGTCTGGAGGATCAAAATCACGCCGTTGTCGGGGCCCCGGGCAAACTTGGCCAGCGCCGCGCCGACCGTGACTGCCATGTAGAGCGTCACGCCGTCGCGCACCATCGGTGACATCCAATGCGACGGCAACAGCGCGTTGGCAGCGTAAAACACGTACGTGGACCAGAGGCAAAAGAGACCGACCGACTGAAGGTAGGCGAAAAGCAAGCCCATGGCGGCGCCGAAGGCAAAGCGGAGCTCATGCGCGTGCGGCATCGTCAAGAGCGCTGGCGGGCACAGCACATAGGCCATGCTACTGATCGCAGCAAAGATGATGGCACGGGGCAGCTTGTAGCCACGGACTCCGATAGCGAAACTGGTGAGCGCCAAGGCGGCAACAGCACCCAGCTGGTACTGCTCCGCGTCACGGGGCGAGGCCACTGCATCAACACAGTAGGCGTGGACCGCCTGCGTATGGTTGAGCAGCGTGTTCATAACGTCGTGGAGCGCGACGAGGCCGTCGTCGGCCGAAAAGAGTGGCGTCGTCATGTGCTACGGCAACGGTGCAACGGGAAATGCCCATCCGGAGATCAAGCCCAAGTTTGTGCGAGGCGGCGTCGACTTGACAGGTCCGGTCGTCGCTTCTTTTTGACCGTTGGCAGAAAGTGCATGTCGATTAACTAATCCAACGGCATTTTCACCCAATCACCGTCGTCGACGGATGACGTGGCACGAGCACGATGACGCAATCGTCGGCTCGCGGTGACACAAACACCATCGCAGGACACGAACAATCGTCGTCGACGTCTGCGTGAACATGAGCAGCGCCACGAGCGATGCTGCAGGAGGCGCGTCATGCGACTGCTCTTGCTGGATCACATACATCCTTGACATATGGACTGAGCGGCACAGGAGAAGGCAAGGACCATGTGCAAGCGAAAATGGATTATAGAGGGCCACGTGATCTAGTTTCTTAGTCGGTCTTGGCCTTCTGGGCGTCCATCGCCGACGCCATCGTGTCAATGGACTTGAACTGGCGCGACCACGACGAGTTGTACAAGAACGGGCGCAAGTCGAACCGGTTGTCGTCCGGCGAGTAGTTTTCCGCATGGTACGACGGCGTCAATGTCGTCATCTTGTGGCGGTTGATGCCATAGTAGAAGAAGAAGCGCTTGACCTTGGCCGCAACCTCGGTCGGCGTCAACTGCGTCCAGACATGCGAGAGCTTCCGGAACATCCACAGCGGACCACACCGGTCGATCTTGCGAAGACGGCCAAACCAGCCGAGCTCCTCGTACGTCATGCCCATGTCTTCCTCGTCGATCTGCGAATGCTCTTCGTCGGCACCGGACGCCATCGGGCGAAGCTCAGCGGTCGGCGGCGCGGCCACGACCGTCGCCAGCGTCGGGTAGTTGTACTTCTTGGCCGCGTACACCAAGAGGCGCTTCAGGTCCGTCTTGGAGACGGCGCCGATCGGGTTGAGATCCGCGCTCGAGCAGTCGTACTTGGTCATGTACCCGCGGAGCGCCTCGTCAACGTTGGCCGAGCCGAGCACGAGGAGGAAGCCCGCCTTGGACCGGACCCACGGCAGCAGCTGCGCGAGAAGATACGCCATGACCATGCGCAACCGGGCTTGGATGTTCTGGAGCGCAAGGTCCTCGGACGCCGTGCCGCCATGAACGCCAAAGCGCGGCGTCTTGCCGACAAGCAAAGCGAACGTCGAGACGACGGCCGACACCATCGCGTCGATCTTGACGGTCAAGTGGTAGTTGCCAATCTCAGCCGCGAGCGTCTTGGCGCGCGTCTCCGTCGCCAGCGAACTGTTCTCGGTCCCCATGTACGTCGTGTGGAGAATGTGGCTTGCGAGCTCTTGCGGCGTCAGCGACTCGTACGTCGCCGTCGCGTCCTTCCCGAGAAGGTACAGAATGTCCTTTTGGACTTGGATATCCCCGGCATTGCCGGCCGCGGTCGCGAGGTGGCACATGACACCGACGATGCACGCAACCGACGCCGAGTCGGCGCCGCCAGAGAGCGGGAGAAAGAAGCCCTTGGCCTTGCTGCGGCGGAGGTAGTCCCACATCCAGCAAGCAGGTCCGAGCGCGATCTCCTCTTCGGGCGCGTGAAACTTGAAGTCGACGCGCGGCGACGGCGCCAAGAACGCGGTCGTCGACGTCGGCGGGCAGACGCGAAAGTTGACGTTGATGTGCGGGAGCGCGCGCTCCGAGGGCGCGCTCGCCTGCTCGCTGCGGGAGCTGCACGCACCACGGTACGAGCGCACGTCGTCGAGGTCGACAACGGCCGTGATGACTTCGATGTCATTGACCGAGAACTGCGAGCCCTGCGCCACGATATGGCCGTTGACGACAATGAGCGCGCAGCCGTCGTAGTAGAGGCGGCCGCCGTCGCAGCCTTGCTGGTTAGCGTACAAGTAAATGCCGCCCGCTACACAGCCATTTTCAAATCGGCAAGCACGATGTCATCGATACCTTTGGCCGTCGCGCCACGAATCAGGTCGATGCGGTGGTGGAGCTTGCGCAGCTCGTGGTGCGAGCCCGACCCGTTGCCGATGATCTCGACGCCGCCAAGTGACAGCGAAATGTGTGGCGCGTCCGGCGTGAAGAGCTCTTCGCACGTCTCGGACGAGATAAGCTATTGGACGTGAACACAAGAGTCGTGGCGGAGGCAAGTCGCGTACCGAGTCGCGCGTCGCAATGGCGCCAATGCCAAAGGGCACTTCGACCTGCGACGTAAGCTCCTGGATCGAGAGCGGCAGCATGTGCGACTGCAAGTTGAGCGCGGCGTCCGCATGGATCTTCCACGTCGTGAACCTACATATCCACAAATATGAGCTCGCGTACGAAGCATGGAACGCCGCTACCAGCGCGTTTCGCGGTAGTTGCCATCGTCGGCGTGGAAGAGCTTGGGGCGAATGAAGAGGATCTTGCGGTCGAGGCAGAAGACGCGGCAGTTGTAGCGCACGCCGCCGTGCATGACGGGCATGCCAATGTCGCACAAGATGCCGTCCGTCACGTCCGACGAAAGCAGCGTCGCCATGCTCTCCCAGCAATGGAAGAACGTATCGGCCTCGAGGAAGTGATCTTCGCAGCCGTAGCCGCAGATCTCGAGCTCCGGTCCGAGGCGGTACGTGGCGCCGCGCGCCTTGGCAATGCGGATCGAGCTCATGATGCGCTCGAGGTTGCCGTCAAAGTCCAGCGCCCACTGGTTGAGGTTGCATGTGGCCACGGTCAGGAGCGGCGCGTTCATGTTCATCGTGTCGTCGCGAGCAAAACCAGAAGTGACTGCCTTCGCCAAAAGGCGGCTCCTGCGCGATGATTGGTCCTCGCGTGGACCCTAGGATTTTTAGCCAATCACAGCACCGCAATGATTGCATTCCAGCACTGAAAAGCTGCGCGGTCGATCCTCGGTAGCCGCCGACGTTCGCCGCAACTTCGTGTGGTGGGCACCTCCTGATCGGTCGCACGCTGCGTCCAATACGACGACGAGCGAATGAGCATGTAGAGTACGTTGTCGTCGCTGTAGTAGCTGCCGTGCCTCCGCGACCAGTCGCCTTCCTCAAGCCGCGCTGGGTGCGACCCCAGAACGCGCTGCGATTGGCCAATGCAACGCGGGATATCACCACCCGACCCTTCAGCGTGGGTTAAAGTCGGGCCGCATGTGTTTAAACAGATAAACCGGCGTCGGCCACTTTGGTTGCTGCCGCAAATGCGCTCTTCCTTCTCGTCGTCGAACATCCAGCCGACGTATCCAAACTTCTACATTGCACAAGCCGTCTCATGAGCTCGCGCTGGCGGCCAACGCCGAGCTCTCTCGATGCGGCCGTCGGAAGAAGCCGAAAGGCCGAGTTGGCACCGTGATTCGCTCGTCACTCTCTTTCCAGCGGGCCGCGTCATGGCATCGCCTCCGATTCCGGGCAAACGGCGAACCAGCTACGGCTTGATAACCTGATAACTATTAGCGTGGACTTTAGCGTGGTCATAACCTTGTTTCAACCTTGTTTCAAGCCTGAGCTAGCTATTAGGGCTAGGGCTACGAGATGGCAAGTCTCGGGGGCCTCACTTTACACGTGGAGAACTCGTTTTGCATCATCCCTGGGTGGTTCTTTGCGATGGTCTGTCTCGGGCAGAGCATCTTTGGGGCGATGGATATCCACTGGCTGGGCGAGTTTAGTAGCTAGCCATTACAGCGGGCATCCCACTCGCTTTGTCCTAGCGCTATTGATGACCGACAGCACTTGACTCGCAACACAGTATCGCTAGTTAGTAATATAGAGCATTATTCGTCAATGCCATGGCGCTACCACCTCTCATCAGGACGCGGCGCTCGTTCTATACAGGCGCTGGGCGTGCGATGGCGGGCTCGTCGACGACATGTGCGCGGGAAACATGCGGTCGTACATGTGCTGGAGGATCGCGCTCACGTGGACGGCGGTCGGGCGCTCTTCTGGCACGTACGAGAGGCACTGCTCGGCGAGCTCGACGAGCCACTCGGGCGACGTCTCGGTGAACGTCGGGCGGATCGTGCCGTCGCGCAGCCGGTCGAGGAGCGCAAAGTCCGAGAGCGGTTCGGTCGACTGGCCGTCGAGACTCACGCGCAGATGCGCATCCCAGAACGGCACTTGGTGCGTCGCAAACTCCGAGAGCATGATACCAAACGAGTACATGTCGGCGGCGACCGTGTACCGCTTCCCGCGCAGCACCTCGGGCGCCGTCCAGCGGTACGTGCCAATGCCCTGCGTCATCGTCGCCTCGATCGCCTCGCGCGAGACGCCAAAGTCGATGAGCTTGCCGCGCGCGTGCTGCGTGAGGAGCACGTTGCGGCTCTTGAGGTCGCGGTGGATGATGGCGTTCGCGTGCAGATAGATGAGACCGTTCACGACGTCGAGCGCACACAGGATCTTTTGATCCCACGGAAAAAGCGACGCCGGGTCGGCCTCCGTGTTGGTCAAATGGTCGCGCAGGTCGCCGTACGACATGTACTCGAGCACGAGCGTCATATCGCGCGGACGATTCCACGCGACACCGATGAAGCGCACAATGTACGGACTGTCCATGCGCGCCATGAGCTTGATCTCGTCAATGAACGACTGGACAGCGTCCCGCGCGCGGTCCGGGTGCAACAGCCGCTTCATTGCCACCTGCTCGCCCTTGTAGTCGCCCAGCGACACGATCCCATGCGCGCCAGTCGCCAGCACGCGCACTTCGCGGAGGCGTGTGCTATCGAGACGGTGCAATGCAAGGTCGCCGAGGTGCAACTCGGCGTCGGCGGCGCTGTCGTGGGCGTAGTACGCGGCCGCGGGCTCTGCGAGGAACGACCGCTTCCCCGACTGCGACCGGAGCACAATGTGATCGCCGGGGTTGTTGATATCTTCCGTGGGCGTGCGCGCGGCGTACCGGGCAGCACGCTTCTTCTTGTAAACCATAATGATGATGATGCCAATGGCGGCGGCGGCGACAAGGCTCACGACGAGGATGATGGTTTGGTTGGACGTCCACGAGCTACCTACAGTAGACAGAGAGGCGTGTGAGAGGCGTCCGAGAGCGCAGCGAGATACGTAGGCGGCGCACCCGACGGGATGTTGCGGCAGTACTCCTCGTAAAAGGCGTGGCCAATCGTGTTGTTGTTGAGGGGCTCCACCGTGCTGCACGAAAACGGCGTCGCGTCGAACGAGACGAGGATGCCATTGCAGTCGCGCTCCGAGTTGGTTTGCGTGCAGTCGTAGTTGTACATCGAGGCGCACTCGCGCGTCCCGTCCGAGTTGTTGCGCGCGATCGTAAACACCGTGTTGTTCAAGAGGCCGACGCAGCGCCAGCCGTCGACAATCGTGTAGTGCGTCTTCGCCACGGTGGGCACCGGTGCCTGCGTGCCCTGCGGCTTCTGTGTCGACTGCGTATTTTGCGGCGCCTGCGTGCTCTGCGGCGCCAGCGTCTGGGGGGTCTGCGTCGGCGTCTTGGTTGTGGGCGTGGGTGTGGGCGCCGGCGCCGGCGTCAGCGTCGTCGGCGTCGGGTCTGTCGTCACGTTGTCTGCGCCCATGACCCCTAGCAGCGCAAGGCCCACCAGCAGCAGCGTTCGTCCTGTCCTCATGGCGGCGCGGGGACGTCCGACTTCTCTGTTTCTACTCTCGGCGTACGACGCCGGGCACGAATTACGAACCGGCCTTACTTACAACAATCCAGTTTGTCCCATCGCCCTCTCATTGGTCAAAAGCTTGCCTATTTTCTGATTGGTCAAAATGATTTGCTGCGGACGGACCATCTTGCACAACGTCAAGGTGCCCAACCACTGTTTCTGCCCAAGGCGATCAAGACGCTGCGCCAGGCAGGGATTATCCAGGAGATCAGTCGGCCCGCTCATCTATCGTTTGGAGCAGTAAGCCTGGTCCCTGCACAGCGCGTCTTATTGCCATCGGGTATACTGGAGCGTCAATGTTTCATGGCCTGTCGGCGCCACGCACGCAATCGAACAACAACGACCGCGGTCGTGGGTGCTTGGTGTCCACTGACCAAGGCTACTCCATACGCACGGCTCTGCACGTCCAGCAAAAGGTATGCATCGCGGGGCGAAGAAGACTACGCATACTGCGGCTGGATGGAGATGATGGTTGGAGATCATGGCGTGTTCGTTTCGCGAAGATGTCGCCGTGTTATTGTCACGGTAGGTTCAATCACGAGCATGTGGCGAGCTTCATCGCGTTCGACAGCTTGCTCCACCAGTTTATCGTCTCTTCTCGTCAGCTTTCTTCTCGTCCTTGTCTTGAGTCTGGTGCAGCACACTGGTTGCAGCACGGTCTTGGGTCGGAGACCATTTTGCAGCAGAACTCGCCGACTCTCTCCGGCGTGGCACCCCCAAAGCATTTATAGCCAATCACAGTGCATTTCCATGGAAAACAGAACGCGGCACCGAACCGCATACAAACACCAAGTGTCGCGCGAGACATACAAAGTGCAAGTCAGTGGGCGAGATACGCTTTTGCGCGCTTCCGCAGTTGGGATTCTTCGCAGCATGAACGACGAGCGCAGCATGAACGACGAGCGCAGCATGGAGGCGACCGACGCGTGGCGCGCGCAGCAGGAGCAGGCGCGTCTCGCCGAAGAAGCCGCGTACGAGCGGCAGCTCGAGGCGGTCATGGCCATCTCGCTCGCCGAGCAGACACAGCGCGAGCGCATTGAGCGACAGGCGTCGATCGACGACGTGCAGCGCCGCGAGCACGAGGACGAGGCGCTCGAAGCGTTCAAGAAGCAAGTCGACGAGAAGCGACGTTTGCGCGAAGAGGCCCAGGCGCGCCACGAAGAAAAAGTCATGGACGCGGTGCTCAAAGCGTCGCTGGTTGAGTTCAACGAGCGCAGCCGCATCGAGCACATGACGGACGACGAGGAGCGTCTTCGGAGTGCGTCACTCGAGGCCCAGCAGCAGGAAATCGAGCGCATGAAGGCCAATGCGCATCGCTCCAAGACGAACGCGGTGCAAAACGTTCTCGACCTCAAGAAGAAGGCGCACGAAGCCAAAGAGCAGGCGCGGCGGGCCGTCGAGGAGTACCAAAGAAAGGAAAACGAGCGCCAGGAAAAGCTAGTGGCGTTGGCCCAGCTTGAGAAGGAACGGGACCAACAGGCGCTGCTCGACGCCGCCAAGCAGCGTCAACAAGAGGCGATTGCCAAACGCCTCGAGGCCGAAACCCGCGCCCAGGAAGCCGTCGCGCGTGCGCAGGCCATGCGCGAGAAGGCGCTGCTCGCCGCCAAGATGGTGCGTCAGACGTCGCGTGCGACGATCGAGAGCTCGATCCAGCAAGAGGAAGCCAGTCGGACTTTGGCGTACGAGCACCAGATGCGTGCGCTCGCCCACGAGAAGGACGCGGCGATGCGGGAGCGCCTCGAGAAGGAGCGTATTGCGCACGAGAAGCTGCAAAAGGCCACCGAGTTGCGCGAGCGCGCGGCGGTGGCGTCGGCCCAGCTCGGTCGCAAGCAATCTGGCACCTCGTCGGCCTAGTGCATGTCAATGAGTGTATGTCGCTCTTGGCTTATTTTATTTTATTTTGTTTATTCTATTTTATTTTATGGGACTCTGGACACGATCTGTCATGCGGAGGTTGGACTCACACGTGGGAATAGGTGTTTTCCACGTTTTCCACCAACCACCCCAACCGTGTGACAGCAGAGGTCGTTGACGCGGGGCGATCGTTGCGAGAAAGATGAAGACGGTCGGGTGCGTGTCTGCGCCATCAGACCTGAAGAAAGGATCCTGCTGGGGTGTTCTAGGGTATTGATAAGCGCAAGCGCAGCTGCAATGCTAGTTCCTACTAGCTTTGTGTGGGATTACGCGAGATCTTGACGCGTGCTATGGGCGCTTTGAACACAACTTCAAGGGCTTATAGTTCTGCGAGTAGTTGAACACAAAACGGTGCGGCGAGTTGACGTGAGAATCCCACGCAATACCAATTTCTTGTATAACGTTCTCCGTCGACCGGAAATGCGATTTTAAAAGGACCCGAATCTCCTTCGCCAGCCCGAAGAAATGGTGTGGATGCTGTGCAATGGGGACGTGTGGATGGAGGGTACAAGGCAACGCCGTACCGTCCCATATTATTGTTTATGCGGCTCAAGCATGTACAAATGCATGGACAGAATCTTCTTCTTTCATCATCCTGCGCAGTTTCCCACCGCCATTTCCCACGCCGTGAAACCGTTTTTCTGAACACATCGAACAAGTGTGATATTCCACTTGTGAGTTTGACAATGACGGACCGGGTCGATCCCAGTACGGCGCCAGGACAGGACATGACCCACGACGTGTTGACGCTGTATGGTGGCCACAACCCAATGCCCCTCGCTAAGCTCAACGAACCGCGGCCAATCGAGTCGGACAGCGACGACGACGAGCTCGTGAACGCGCGTTTGTGGCGCACCGCCACCGACGCCAAACTGCAAGCATCGACAGCGGTGGCATACACGGCCATCACTGTCGCCGACGACGCTGCCCGTGCGCACATTGAGCACCAAGCGTCGCTCGAAGCCGACCGCTTGGCGGCGGATGTCACCGCTGCCCGCGCCTCGATCGACCTGCAGCTGACCGAAACGCAGGCGTCGCGACGCGAGAAGGAGGCTGTGCTGCATGCCAAGGTTGCCGATGCACACGCCAAGGTCGCCGAGGCCGAAGCCGTCGCACGCCGGCGCATCGAAGACCAAGCGTGCCTCGACGAAGCGTCGCGAAAGGCAGAAGAAGAGGCCGAGCTCGCGGCTTTCCGAGCCCAGTTGGATGCAACGCGGGAGGCGCGGCGTGAAGCGGCCGAGCGCCACGATCAAAAGGTTCTCGAGGCAGTGCTCGCTGCGTCATTGTACGAGTACAACGAGCACCAGCGTATCGAGAAACAGCTTCACGACGCCGAGGCCGAGATCGAGCGCACGCGAACGTTGAACCAAGCAGAGCTCGACCGCATCCGAGCGCACGCGGCAGCAGCCAAGCAAGCCTCGCGCGACGCTGTCGCTGCATCGCAGGCCAAGGCCCAGCGGCTCGCCGACGAGGCGGTCAAGGCGGTCCATACATACCAGGAAACCGAGGTCCACCGCCAAGAGGCCCTTTTACACTTGAGCACGCAAGAGTCGGAGCGCGAGATGGAAGCGCAGCTCCACGCACTGCACATGCGCCAGGAAGCCGCGACGCTTCGGCGCATCGAGAGTGAACGCATGGCGCACGCCGCGCAAGCACGCGCAGCGCAGCTCCGCGACGAAGCGATCGCCAAGGTCAAGCAAGTGCGTGAGCTCTCCAAGCAAAAAGTGACGTCCGACCTTCTCCACGAAGACGAGCTTCGCGACCTCCAGTACCAAACGCAGCTCCAAGCCCTCTCGCTCGAGAAGGCGCAGGCGACGCAGCGACGGATCGAGCGGGAGCACGCGGCCGAAGCAGCCCAGGCGCGTGCTGTCCAGCTGCGCAACGACGCGGTCGCCAAAGCGCGTCAAGTCCGGGCGATGAGCAAGCAACAGATTGGGCTCGAGCTCGAGCGCGAAGAGAGCCTCCGCGAGCTTACGTACGAGACCCAAGTATCACGTCTGCAAGCTGAGAAGGACGCAGCAACGCGGCATCGCATCGAGGCTGAGGAAAGAGCCGCGAGTGCGAAGGCCCGCGCCGCGTCCCTTCAGAGCCAGGCCATGGCAGCAGCGACCAAGGCCCGCGCCGGCTCCGCCCCTTTGCTTTACGCGGACCAGAGTCGACAGCCGGCAGCCGTCCCAAACACTCTCGTGTCGCCCCACACAGCTGTGGACGAGCCACGACCGGTCGTTGCGGATCACGCGCCTCGACCTGCCGTGGAGCTGGCTGCAAGGCCCGTGTCGGTGCGGCCATCGTCGCTCGCCTCCACGGACGTGACGATCGATACGACTGCGGTGCCCGAGAGTACGACGGTACCAGCCACCGTGCCGGACCGACGACGACGAAGTCGCGACGCCAAGCAAAAGTCCAAGGACAAAAAGTGCGCCATTATGTAGTAACCCTAAACACGTTTATGTATTATTGTCTCGTCGTACAACACAAAGGCTAAATTGTTAAGTTAAAAGAGGTGGTCAAAGAACGACGTCGACGGGCGCGTTGTCGAGGATGAGCTGGTGGGAGTTGTTGGAGAATGCTTTTGCTTGCGGTGGGACACCGGGGACAACGCATCGTCCAACACATAGAGCTCATCGTCGAGGCTGCCCGTAGTTTCGTCGTAGAGCAAGTCGCGGTAGCTCGAATCTTCTGGCGTCTCTTCTTCGTAGCTTGTTGTCGACTCTTCGACCGTCTCGGCGTCCGAGATGACCGACGCGGTGCGCGGACCTTTGACAAACCCACGGGCCTCGTCGTGGTACGCGGCCACGTTCTCTCGCAGCCAGCTGTGGGCGAGGAGCTCCGGGATGGTTGGTCGCCGGCGGACGTCCGACACAAAGATGAGTCGCAAAAACTCTTGCAGCGACGGCGACAGATAGTCCGGGTACTTGACTTGGTTGCGGTACACGTCTTGGCGCAGCGCAGCAAACGTGCTGTCATCGAAAGGTGCGCAGCCCGTCACGAGCGCAAAGAGGAGGACACCGGCGCTCCAGACGTCGGCGGGACCGCCCTCGACGCCCGTCTCGCGCGTGTTGCTGTTGAGGAAGAGGAGCTCGGGCGCGCAGTACAGAGGCGTGCCACACACGGTCTTGAGGCGGTCGGCACTCTTCTCGGACAAGCCAAAGTCGATGAGCTTGACTTGGTGCGACGTCGAGATGAGGACACTAGACACACTTCCATGAGCCGTCTGCAGATATAGAACTGCGAAGCGTACTTTTCTAGTTTGAGGTCGCGGTGCCACACGTTCTGGCTGTGGCAGTTGGCGACAGCGTGCAGGAGCTGCTCAAAGACGTACGCCGCTGTGCGCTCGTCCATCTTGGAGTAGTCCAGAATCTGCTGCAAAAGGTCGTGGCCGTCGACGAGTTCGTGGATGATGCAGATGCGATGGGACGTCTCGTAGCCGCCGAGGTATTCGATGATATTGGCGTGCGAGAGGATCTTTGCAATCTCGAGCTCGCCGACAATCTTCTTTAGCCGTCGCCGGGCACGCTGGACGGCCGTGTCGCGCGAGTTGTAGCCGTCGGCAGCGATCGACTTGCGCTGCTCGATCATCTGCGCCTTGTCAAAGACCTTGATGGCGACTCGCCGGTCGTTCGCATAGTCGTACGCTGCATAGACCTTGGCGGTAGCGCCGCTGCCAATGACTTTCTCAAAGATAAACTATAGTCGGAGATGCTGAGTTCATGCTCCTCATCGCTCGTCGTACCTTCTCGTGGAGCTCGGCCTCGGTGATCTCGGGCCCGAGGAGGGCCCGTAGCTGGTTGTGCAAGGTTGGGCGCTTTGCTGGACCTGTCATCTCGCAGTGGTATCTAGCGCTGGTATCTCTGTCGCGTCGTCGTCGTCGTCCGGGCTTGCTGCATGCACGAGCAGGCAAGGGTGGTCGTGTTCGAGGTAGACAGCTGATGGCGCAATGATGGTGTACTGCCGAATCCATCTTGGTTCCACCCAACGACTCGAACGCACTTGCATTGATTATACTCGACATTCACACTTCTCGATTGGTTGAATATTGCCCAATGAATGCGCTTGAACCGAAACCGTCAGGCCTTTTATCCAATCAAATGATCGGACGTATTTTTGAGGGCATGTGGTTCAAGGATCTCAACCCGATTTCTCACGAGTAACCGGCCGCGCTTTTTGACCAATGAAACCCACATGCGAGGTGATTTGACCAATCGCAAGGCCGCCTGCCGTTGACACACTCACACGACCTTGAAGTTCAGGCGCGCGCAAGATCGCCGAAGGTTGTTCGGCGTCATTGGTGGGCGAACCGCTGGCGATCTTCCCGCGCTACTCGCGATGGCGGTCTCTGCTTCTTGCGCCGGACGTGGCGAGCTACTTGGCAAGCGCGTACGTCTAGTAGGAAGGTCGCAACGGGGCTTGGCCATACAAGCATTCGGCCCACTTTGCACCCACGTTTGCACCCCTCGAACGTGTCTAGAGCATGACGTGGCGCTGGCACACTGGCACCATCCTCTGGCCTTGACTGGTCTGCGAAATCCATGCCTGTGACGAAGTGACCCAGCTTCAGAGGCATAAAAACATGCATGGCCGATCGATTTGGTTGCTCAGATGCGCCACCGCATCTTGGAATCTGAGACGCAGCGGCGACAGCAGCGGCTACTGCGGCCACTGTTCACGCGAAAGATTGCACGCCCAGGGGATATTTCTCGGATTCTGGTTTCTGGACGACGTCGGCGCCTCCCAAATGAAGGTCACGAACAACGGCAAAGTGGAAGAGCCACACGACTTCTCGAACATGATCGAAGGGGGTAGCAATCCTTCTCCGCGTGTCTACGGGAAGCCTTTCCAGCACACCTTCCGAGGTTGACATTTTGTGGACCTCCAGTTCCAAAAGCATCCCGAGCCGAGAGTTGGAGATTGGGGCAACTATGTGTTCGACTATGCGTTCGATTTCACGGCTACCTGTGACACGGTCACGCCCACACTGAACGCAGTCAATACCTTAGTAGGTTGGACAAGAGTCCGTCATCAAAGAGGTCGGCGCGCGCTGACCATGCGTCTCCTCGCTTCAATGCCATATCTTTGTCGGCCACAACGCCATGGAGGCCATACCCAGTCGTGCGTCCGCTTGCCTATGTGGTTGCCCTGTCCCGACCCGTCCACGTCCCATGCGATGTCGAGATTGATTCCTTTGAAGTACGCTCCCGCCAAAGCGCACTTGAGCGAGCGTGCAATAGATTGGAAATGACGTGACGGGATTGGCTTTTTTTAGCCAATGGGAGACGCGTATTTGGCTGAGCCATTGGTGGAGGCGAAATCGCCACCAGTAAAAAGCTGCGTGTGTCAATTTCGCTAACTGCAACGATGGCCCCGAAGCGCAAGGCTGCTGCGATCGAGTCGGAGACGACCAAGGCCGAAGAGCTCAAGAAGGAGCTGGCGCAGATGGACGTGACCAAGCCCAAGTCGAGCTACATCAACAAGCAGCGCGTGCTCGTCTTTGCGTCGCGTGGCATCACGACCCGGTACCGCCACTTCCTCGACGACCTCCGCAAGCTTTTGCCGCACCACAAGAAGGACGTCAAGCTCGATGCCAAGGACACGCTCCACGTCGTCAACGAGATCGCCGAGATCAAGGGCTGCAACACGACCATCTTCCTCGAAGCGCGCAAGCGCCAGGACCTCTACATGTGGGTGAGCCGCACGCCGACGGGTCCGTCCGCCAAGTTCCTCGTCCAGAACGTGCACACGATGGACGAGCTCAAGATGACGGGCAACGCGCTCATTGGGTCGCGCCCGCTCCTGACGTTCGATGCCGCCTTTGACGACGTCGCCCACCTCAAGCTCCTCAAGAACATGTTCATCCAGGTGTGGGGCACGCCCAAGGGCCACCCCAAGTCCAAGCCGTTCATTGACCGTGTCATGAGCTTCTACTACGCCGACAACAAGATCTGGTGCCGCAACTACCAGCTCGCGGACGAAGCCGACACGAAGAAGCTCGAGCAGGCTGCCGTCCACCGCGGCGAGGAGCTCACGAACCTCGTCGAGATTGGCCCCCGCTTTGTGCTCTCGCCCATCCGCATCTTTGACGGCAGCTTTGGTGGCGTCACCTTGTACCAGAACCCGCACTACGTCGCCCCCAACGAGGTGCGCAAGAACGCGCACTTGGACAAGCGCGACCGGTACGTCACGCGCAAGCTTGCGCAGGACTCGCGCGCGAGCCGCAACGAGCTCAACGTGATGCCCGAGGATCAATTCGCCGACGTCTTTGCGGGCGCGTCGAGCCCCTAAACGCTTTGTCTCTTCTACATTTCTTATGGCATTATATAACAAATGGATTCCGTCCTTAACCACTGCTGTGTTGACGAGGCTCGAGTGGAGGAAGCTGGATCCGCCGCGTGTCCATTGGGGGAGGTGTCGTCGATGGTATTTGACGCAGTTGTTCCAAGACAATGGCTTCGAGGAGGCGCAGGCGGTGGGCGGGGCGATGCATGCCGTACGTTTCCGTCAAGAGGTCGTCGTGCAGATCTAGTCGAAACACACTTGTGCGTGCAGCGTACTCTGCTCTCACGGTACCTTGGAGCTGGAGGCCATCGGTGTGCTCAAAGACCGGGAGGTACTGTGATAGAGAGAGCGAGCGCAGAAAGTCGGCAACTTCGGATGTCGACCAGACGGCCATTTGGCGCGGCGCGGACGTATCCCGCGTCGACCATGCTGGGTCCCAGCTCCGAAGAAGCGCAACAACCTCGGCGTGGCCACCCGTGAGTGCGACATCGAGCGGCGTGTCGTTTGTCTCGTGCGCTACGATGTCGGTGCGGGCGCCCGCGATCAGCAGCGCTTTTGTGCACTCGAGTGCCCCTTCTGCCGCCGCCACGTGCAGCGCTGTCCAGCCCCACACGTTTTGCTCGTCCAGTAACACGTTGGCATTTACGAGCTGGTGCAAGCAGTGCTTGGCGTTGTTTTCGGCCGCCAAATGCAACGCCTGCAAGCCATCATCCGAAATGGTTTTGCACATGCGGTCGTACCGTGGTGCCGTCGGGGTCCTTGAGGTTGCCGTCCGCGCCGCGCCTGCACTCGTGTTATGAGCTGTCACGCAGCAAGAAAAGACGCAGCACCGCAGCAAGAGGTGCACGCTGTGGTGGGCGTGCCACGCACTGGCGAGCATAAGGGCCGTCCGGTCGTGCTGACCGTAGCCGTTGACGACATGGTCGCGGTTTTCGAGCGACTCGAGAAAGGCATCCAGCATTGCCACGTCATTTGTAAGTGCAATCTCAATCAAGGCCTCGACTTTGGACGCGATCGCCGACATGGGACTACACCACGAGGCATAACCGACGCGTCGCTGCGTTTCAAAGTGGAGTGCAAGATCCAGGGCATTGCGAGCGGATGGGCCAAAACCTGAGCGCTGATGCGACCGAGGTCGTCCACTTTCGCAAAATGGTACCAAGTGCATACGCACTGTTTCCTCATACGTATCAGGTCAAGCACACGTTTCACGGCAACGTCGCCAAGCTCGAGACGCATTTTTACGAGGCTTCGATGGCCTTTCAGGTCGTACCATGGACTCTCGTGCTTGTACGAGCATGGTTTAGATCTCTCGCGCGGCGTACATTGACGTGAGCAATCGCATCGAAGGCCGCATCGAGAGCATCCACGACTCGCGACGCCACGAGGCCAAGCTTGAGAAACACTTGGACGAAAAGCAACTCTTCTTTGCCGCAGTCGAAGACGGACGCATTGTGCTCGGTGATACGCTTCTGCACGTGGCCGTGCGCCTCGGCCACGTCGAGGTCGTGCTCTTCCTCTTGAGCATGGGTCTGCGCGAGAACGTGCCTAACTTTCGAGGTCCGACAACGCTCTTCTTGGTTGTCGTCAGCAGGTTTGAGTAGGCCAGTTTGCCCACGAATGCTGCAAGCTTCCGTCGATTCAAGTGCTCATGGACGACGTCGTGCTCGTCCACGACGTCCTCGGGTTTGACTACGACGACGAGCCTCGCGTAAAGATCCCATTCCGAGGTGGATCGTGTCAAATAAGAACGTAGGTGCACCGCCTTGTGGATACCTTGCGCACGCTCTGGCCGTTATGGGTCTGGAGCGCCATAACGCTGATGGTAGGCGACTCACACAGTAGTATGCTACTAGATGTACGACGCGTCGGAAGCCGGGCCGCTCGTGCAAGTCGTGTCGGACACGCGAACGTCCCACTTGCAGTACGCCAAGCTCGTCAAGATTGCGGCCACCATGGCGAGCCGGTGCGACCCATCTCGCTGCGTCAACCTCCATCATAGACGCTAGGTACCGCACACATGTGACGCTGGGCGGTCTTCCTATCGCACTCGAGCTCCTCCGCGCCCACGACCGGCAGGCGTATGATGCCAAGCGCGCGTTCCACAAGCTGCCAACCCCCGAAAAACTCCAAGTCGTGTGGGACGTAATACGCTCAGACGGTCGATGTTGCATCTGTAGACAACGACGATCCGTAGATTCTTGGCACGTACTTTCCGCGCTGGAAGCATCTCAAGAGCGTCGAGAAGGACGCTGCGTACTTGGTGCCACCTCATATCGAGACTGCCATGGACACGTCTTGATAGGCGTTTATCGAAGATGCCATGGGGGCGTGGATCACGATCGCCGACGACTTGCGTCTGTATTTGGACGACGCGACGTTGCCCACCGACGCTGACGTGCTGCAGGCACTCGAGCCACAGGTCTGGAAACGCCGGTTGGCGCCACCTCCCGACGCAGTCGAAGATCTCTGCGCACACATTAGCGGTGTCGAAAAGGTGACCGGTCTCAAGCATCTGCACATCGACGACCGCGCGCACTAAGTACCTTTTGCTAATATACATAGCAGACTCTCGGTGCTACGGCTTACTGGTACATATCCGGCAGCGAGCGACGCACCGTGTTATACTAGCGTTCGTGCCCAGGAATCACCACCTAAGGCTCACAACCACCTGCTGCGTCACCGATGACGCAAAGGCAGCTCGACAGGACTAGCGGAAGAAAATCGCTGGAGGTATCCACCTCGGAGGAACAAATGTCAACACATAGTGTTGCATGGTCGTATCCTAGTTGCTTTATCCTCTCTCTAGTGCGACTGGATGCTTAGCCAAACTTGCCGTCAAAGCCGACAAAGCCCGCGAGCTTGAAGACGGGGAAGAACTTCTTCGCGTGGAGGCGCGAGCACCAGTTCCAGGCGCTCGTGAGGCGGCCGTCAATGCACGAGCCAGCGTCAAAGAAATTGTCGGCGCCGCTGCCGTCAAACGCCTCGCGGAAAAAGTCGACGAGGATGTCCTTCTTGAGCGTCTCGGGCCCGCCAAACGTCGTCGCAATGTACGTGTGCAGCTCCTTCGACTTGGCCGCGAGCTCGTCGATCGCATCGATCGTCTTGACGATCGGCCGCAGAATGTGCCCCACCTGCGCGTACTTGTCGATAAACATGAGCGCATTTGGCACGTTCTTGTCGCCGAGGTGGATGACGCTCGAGCCGACCCAGTGCTCCAAGCGCTCCTGCGTCGTGTGCAGTAGCACGTGCATGGCGCGCGAGACCAACGGCGACGCCTGGATGCGGTGGAGGCCCTGGCCCGTGTCTGTGAGCTGGTACGGCGACTTGGCCGTGAGCAGGTCGTCGTCCGTGAGGCACCACAGCCGGAACATGTCGTGGGCGATCTCGCGCCATAGCGTCAGCGACTGGAGGACGTAGTGGTACTGCCGCGCATGCGAGTGCGAGAGGCGCGCGCCGTCGCTGCCCGAGACGATCGCGAGCGAGTACTTGGCGTCGACTTTGGTATCTTCGATCGGAAAGTGCGTCGAGAGGAGCGTAATCATGCGGTCGATCGGGTCGCGCTCAAAGTAGAGGTGGTAGTTGTTGTCCGCGATCGAGTAGAGGCACTGCTGGATCTCGTCGGCCGAGACGCTCGACGAGTAGAACGACCGCGTGATCTCCTTGATGGCGGCGTCCTTGGCCTTGATCTGCTGCTGGATCTTGGCGCGCGACTTGCCTTCGGGCGCCACGACCATCGTCGCGGTCTCAATGAGCGGGTGGTCGAGAATCCCGAGCACGCCATGCGCCTCGAGCACGGCGTAGACGGTTTTGAGCGGCTTGACGGGCGAGAAGCCGAGGAGGTCGTGGATCGCCGGCGACACGGCGTCTTGCAGGAGGTACATGAGCGCGCCGTACTCGCCGCGCATCTTCTCGGGGTTCATGATCTTGTAGCGTCGGCCGAGCTCAAAGAGATCGCCAAAAAACCCTTCGAGCGGCTCAAACTGCTTTTCGTCGAGGAGCGTCTGGCCGGCCTTGTAGTCCATCGAGACGACGAGACCGCTGAGGAAGCCCGCGATTTCCTGCAGCTGGAGGCGCGTGCGCTTCGACGGGTTCATCGCCAGCAGCGTGTCGATCTTGTCCGTGTAGTGGCACACGCTGAGCGCGGCCTCGAGCGTCCGGAGGCGCTTGCGTTCTTCGTACGTGAGGCGCACGGGGATGTACCGTGCGCGGTCGCGCATGGTCGCGTTTGGGGCCGCCGGTACCGACGACGACGGGAGCTGTTTCGAAGACAGTCCGCCTAAGAGCAATGAGCCCATCAAGGTACAGATATTGCGCGACGACGACGAGCCGCGGAAGCGGGAGGGCCTCGAGTTGCCGCTGTCATCACTGTCGTCGGAGGAATCGGCATCACCTTCGTAAAGTCGGCTCGACGACGTCGATGGCAGTGGCACCGTTGGCGCAACAAGCTGGACCTAAGGATGCGCATGAGCGGCGACGACGTGACGTTGTTGCCGTACCTTCTCGTCACGGGCGTCGTCCGTCGGCTGCAAAATGGGCTGGTACGTGTGTGTTTTCCGGTTGCCCTTGCGGTGCTGGCCGCCGTAGCAGAGGCGGCAAAAGTGGTCATGGCACTGCTCGCAAAACACCTCGGACCGCTGGTGGCGACACTCGATGCACACGGTCGTGTCGACGTTCACATCGTCGTCGTCGTCCATGGTCTCGTCCTCTGCAGCGCCAATGCACACGCCGACAGCCGACACGGGTAACGCATGGTTCTCGCCATCGCTCTCGCCATCGTCGTGCTCCAAGAGCTCGGACAAGCGGCGCAGTCGACTGATGCCAGAGTAGTCGGCCATATCGTCGTCGGCAGTAGCCCAAAAGTAGTCTGTGGTCGTCCAAGGCGACTTTTCATTGGGGAAAATAACCGATTTACGACCCAATCAAACATCCGTAATTACAATCCCCACAGAAACGCACCAAGGACCTATAGACTGCGTGCCGACGGTGTTCCCACGAGGCAGAGCTGTAAGCTTCCTGCACACCGTACTGTCGAGGCGTCGTGCACTCGTCAGCGCTGCTGGTCGCTGGTACAAACGAATATGTCGCGCTCGGCAGCTACGTGGCACGGGATTGGCCAAAATGCTATTTTGTATGCACCAATCGGGCGTGACAACCAAGACGCTCGCATCCGGTCCACAAGCTCGTTCCACACCGACTAGACGCACGGCCGCTGGATGTGTACGCGCTGGGATTGTTCCGGCCCATGTAGCCTCCTTGGAATCTTCGGCTTCATGCGATAGGCAGCTTACGCCGTGCTTGTCGCCCACCGTCATCACCCGGCGGAGGAATCAATGGAAGCCGATGGACAGCTCCGGATTCGCCAAAATGCTGGAAATCCAGTTTCAGCAGCGAATCACATGGCGCCAAAGTCGCGGCCCGCCCAAGGAGAAAGCGTGCGGTCCATACGCCGTGGCACCGGGGCAGCGACGGCGCCACGACGCGCAGTTGCTCCGTGCACGCCCAGAATGGCCCGTCGCTCTGATATATACCATCCCTCGGGCGTGGCGTCGCAGAGCCACAAGTCCCTTCCTCGAAAGTGAGCAGCCGCGTATCCGGAATCCATCCGGTTGCCAAGTTGCATTTGGGTGTGAAAATTCTCCAGGGCGTTTGCGGTCATTGTTGGATAAGAATGGCTGAAGTCACGAGCGTCGAGCAGGTCCAGGTGCAGCTGGAAGCGAAGGCCAAGGTCGAGGAGGCCAAGGCCACGGTGGCCAAGGCCGCGCCCGCGCCCCGCGTCTACGAGTCCAAGCTCGGCGAAGTCCGCGAGTGGAAGAAGAGCACGCTGAGCCTCGACGAGCGCTTCGAAATCTGCCGCAGCGTCGGCGAGGAGTGCATCAAGGACGAAGAGCTCAAGCTCCTCCTCGAGAAGAAGGACCACCCGATCTGTTACGACGGCTTTGAGCCCTCGGGCCGCATGCACATCGCCCAGGGTATCCTCCGTGTCATCAACGTCAACCGCCTCACGAGCGCCGGTTGCATCTTCCGCTTCTGGGTCGCCGATTGGTTTGCGCTCCTCAACAACAAGATGGGCGGTGACCTCAAGAAGATCCGCAAGGTCGGCCAGTACATGATTGAGATCTGGAAGGCCGCCGGCATGAACATGGACAACGTCCAGTTTCTCTGGGCCTCGGACGAGATCAACGCCCATGCGGACGAGTACTGGACGCGCGTCATTGACGTGGCGCGCCGCTTCAACATTGCGCGCATCCAGCGCTGCTGCACGATCATGGGCCGCAAGGAGGCCGATGACATGAGCGCGGCGCAGCTCATGTACCCGTGCATGCAGTGCGCGGACGTCTTCTTCCTCAAGGCGGATATTTGCCAGCTCGGCTTGGACCAGCGCAAGGTCAACATGTTGGCCCGCGAGTACTGCGACGAAGTCAAGATCAAGCACAAGCCGGTCATCATCAGCCACCACATGCTCATGGGCCTCAAGCAGGGCCAGGAGAAGATGTCCAAGAGTGACCCGGACTCGGCCATCTTTATGGAAGACACGGCGTCGGACGTGAGCCGCAAGATCAAGAAGGCGTACTGCCCGCCCGGCCAGGTCAACGACAACCCGATCATGGACTACATGAAGCACATCATCTTCCCGCTCTTCACGACGGGTGTCACGGTCAAGCGCAAGGAAGACTTTGGCGGCGACAAGTACGCGACGACGACATCCCTGTCTTGGCATCTCATTCTTCTCGTGTCTAGGACGTACCTCACGTACGAAGAGTTGGCGGCCGACTACGCGGCCGAGGCCATCCACCCGGGGGACTTGAAGCCGACGTTGACCGACTACCTCAACCAGTACGTCCCATCTCTTCTATCAGGTCCAACGGCAATCTGACTGATGTTGCAGGATCTTGGAGCCGGTGCGCCAGCACTTTAGCCAGGGCGAAGCCAAGAAGCTCCTCGCCGAGATCAAGAAGTTCAAGATCACGAGATAAACAGCAACGAGATGGGCGCCATCGTGACGGTCGCGTCGTCTTCAATCACCAAACAAGCATGCATTTTGTGTGTGCTGTATCTCCTCTTCTTATGCCTACGCCGCCTCGGGGAAATGGTGCTGGCGGAGCGGGTACAAGTGGTGCGACTTGTCGTTGATGTGCTTGGGGTTGTCGGTGACCAGCCACAGTGTGAGCGCGTACCGCCGCGCCGCAATGTTCTCGACCGGCGTCTCGCACGGCAGCACGTCGTGCGCCACGAGGTCGCTCCAAAAGACGGCGAGCGTGTCCGACCGCGGCTCGACCACGTGGGTGCCATTGGGCGCAAAGACACGCAGCTCACCACCGTGGCCAGGCGCCCAGTTGGGGTTGAGGTAGTAGACCATGGTCACCTTGCGCTTGTCGGGAAGGCCCGCCGTATCGCAGTGCTTGGGATCTACATGGCGACGTTAGATGCTTCTGAAAGGCTCGGAAGGGTTGGGACGCACAGGAGGCGCCGTCGCCAAGCGACACGGCGAGCTTGGATGCGTACGCGCGCGAGCTCATTTGGAGGCCGGGAAAGAGGGTGTTGAGCATCTCGGGCGCCTGGAGCATGACGCTCCGCGTGTAGTGGAGGATCGTTGGCGCCAAGTCCCATTCGTTGCCGTTGAGCTCGGAAGCAAACACGTTGTGCTTGGGGTACGCGTTGCCGTTGGCATCGACCGAGTTGGATTGAAACATGTGGCCCTCGGCGTAGAGCTTCTCGGCTTCGGCCCGCATCGCGAGGCTAATGGCGCTCGAGGCAAAGTCGCGGAGGATGCAAAAGCCCTGCGTGTTGAGGCCATGCTGGATCGCCTCTTGGGTCGACGGCGGAAAGAGCGGGAGGAGGACGTTCTCGTCAAAGGCCGGCGCCGAGAAGGCGCGTGTTCGCAGCAAGTGGCGGCGGCTGCGCTGCCCGAGCGCCAGCATCCGTTGCATCGTCAGCTTGTCCTTTTGCGATCTGCCTGCGCTCTCGGTCTTTCGCCTCAAATCGCGAATGTTGACAAAAAGGGGTGGCTCGACGATGAAATAGCGTCTCCTTGAAATAGTGTGCGATAGACAACGTAGGGTCGTGACGTCCAGTTGTCTTGAGGCCGCAGGCAGAGATGCGTGCTCAACGTGTGGTATTATTACGGTATGCAACAGGAGGTCATGGATCGCTCCAGCTTGGCTGATTCACAGTCGCACGCCCGACCGCCCACTTGCCTTGAAGGATAACTAACGCGGTTTCGCATGCGTGGCGGCATATACTGTGTACTGTTGTGTTTGGCGTAAGCACTCGCTTTCGACGGCCATTCGACATTAGCCTGCGCCTTGCGTGGAGCTAATCACGACAGCAAAGAAGCTGCAGGCACGCGTCGTGCCAACATAGCACGTCCCACGATCAATGCCCTGCGAAATGCTGTGACGACAAATAGTGTCATGAGGCGCGACGAGGAGTGGCGACACTAATCCCATCGCACTCGGGCGACGCCGATTGGCCGCATGCTTGTGACTTATGACCAATGGTGTGTGAAATAACTGCCAATATCAGCGAATCAGCGGTCACTTTGGCTTTTGCGCTCCTCTAGCAACGGGTCGAGAGATGACGGACGTCTTTGTGTATGGCACGCTCAAGCGGGGCTTCTTCAACCACGACGTGTACCTCCAGCCCGCGGTAGACAAGGGCAAGGCGACCTTCCGCGGGGTCGCGACCACCGTGGGGCCCTTCCCGCTCGTCGTCGGCGGCGACCGCTGCGTCCCGTTCCTCCTCGACATCCCCGGCGAGGGCGTCCCGATCCAAGGCGAGCTCTTCACAGTCGACGACGCGTGCTTGCAGGGCCTCGACATCCTCGAGGCCGTTACGTCCGGCTACTACAAGCGCGTCAAGATCCCCGTCATTCTGAACGACGAGACTATTGCCTCGTACGTCTACATGCGGGCGGTCGAGCCCAACGACCCGCTCCTCGAGCTCGAGAAGGTCCCGTCCTACACACTCGAGGCCGCGAAAGGGTATGCGCCGCGGACCGAGATCCCGAACCTCGAGATCCTCGCGCTGATTTACGATATTGAGAGCCACCGCCTCTCGGAGCTCGAGATGGACCTTCGGGCCATCATGGCCCGTGGCGCCACGTTCAAAGAGGCGTGGAAAAGTCTTCTTGGGTAAGGCGAATATACACGACGTTTTTATTGCTGGTAGACAAAAGGACGAGTAGTAGTAGTGAGAGGGTCGCTCCCTAAAGGCGCGTCGACCACACGATACGCGTGACTGCTTAGCTCGTGCGGATCACGATGGCCGTAATATCGTCACGGCTGCCGCGCTCGACTGCTTCCTTGGCAATCGCGTCGCTCGCGCGCTGGCAGTTCTTCTCGTACTCGTCGTCGAGCACGTCTTCGGCAATGTCGAGGACCTCGTCGTTCGAGAGGACGTCCCAGACGCCGTCGGTCGCGAGGACATAAATACTGTTACGGGCGATCTTGCCTTCCGAGATCTCGGGCAGTGCGACGACCCATCCTTCCATACCCTTGACCTTCATGTCAATGTCGCCAATGGATCGGGATGGGGCGAGGACGCCGGCGACGCGGCCACCGACAACAGAGCCGCCGGCCACGAGGATGCGCCGCTTCTCGAGCGGGCAGCTCGCCTTGTGGTCCGTTGAAAGCGCGTGGACTTGCCGCTTCGGGTGGGCTTGCGGCGACACTTCGAGTGCTGCAATACGGCAGTCGCCAAGGTTCAAGACAAATCGTCGATGCGAGCCATCTTGGAGCACGAGCAGCGCGACGAAGCAGGCGCCGCTGTAGTCGCTGGCGTCGGCTGCGATCTGGTTGAAGCGTGCTTCGAGCGTCGCGACAGCGGCTTCAAGGGTCGCTTTTGTAATCTCACTTTGCTCGTCGATGACACCCACAAGGTGCGTCTTGACGTACTCGGAGGCCAAGGCGCCGCCATGGCCGTCCATGACGGCAAAGAGGCTGTAGCGGTCGCCGTAATGCACGAGCGACCGGTCTTCGTTCTCGTGCGTGGGACTCTTCCACGACGTCGAGGCGGATGTGAGCTTGATTGCGTCGCTGGTCGGCGACTTGTCGAGTGCGTCGGCGAGCACGCGGAGGTCCGTGAACGGCGTCTTGATGGCGACCATGCTGGACTTGCTGCACGGTGTGTGGGGTATACGGAGCGACTGCGCAAGGGCGAGGAAGGACACGTGCGGGCTGGCGAGAAAGAGAGATTCTTTGCCGAGTGCGACGCTGGTCATGTACGAGAGGGGCCGCGTCGTCTTGGCTGCGGCTGCGCTTTTGCCCGTCTCGACGAGAAGGGAGAAGTTGGCGTGTACACAGAAATGCCAAATCAAGCACCCAGCCGGCGAAGTTGGCCACATATCTTCGATCTTCGTCTTGCATTTTGTATGCTGCATCGAAGTTTTCGAACGGCCGTTGGTCACACGACATTACACACCGAGCGCACGGGAAAGGCCGTTCGGGCGGCGCCGCCTCGGCCGAGACGCTATGTAAGGACGTGCTGATCTTAGTCGGCAACGACACTGGATCATAGGACGACAGAGTGTGGCCACATAGCGCGATGGATGTAACATCCAAGCGTGCTTCAGAGCAGGAGATCACGCCGCACAACTGCTTGAAGAACCCGTGGCAAGACAGGGCGCCAAGCACAGAAGAAGGCTGGCGTGCCTCTCACGGGCCAGCGCGGGGCCGACCATCGAACGTAGAGAGGCGGCTGACAACACGATGCAGCCAACCGTCGCACGGATATGCTGGGTCGCCTTTTCTGCGCGCTGGCCGCGGAGCGTGCCACGTATGCCCAATCAAGCGTTGGCTGTATTTTTAGGTGGCACAACGACGCACAGCGGCGAGTGCGATGGCGACGACCCGATCCCAGCGCAAGACGTCGTTCTCGACCAAGTTTACGCCCGAGGTCGTCGGCCCTGGCGCGTACGCTCCACCAGACCTGCTTGCCAAGACCGTTCAGCCGAGGTGGGCAGCCTGACCGACTGCAGTGTCGTGCCTAATGTTGGGTCGTGAGTAGCTACTCGGCGTTCAGCAGCTCGGACAAGCGCAACTTGAACAAGAACACGGGCACGTCGGCCATGACACCAGGTACATGCAATTTAGGAGGGGTAGCAACTGAGGCATGTCATAGGCCCCGGGGCCTACGTCAAGGACGCGGGGCATGGCAGCGGCACCGCCATGAACGCCTTTGCAACCAAAGTGTCACGGTTTGCACCGCATGCCCCGGGGTCTTCCATCTACATGGCGTCGACCGTACAAGACAATCCTGGGCCTGGGACCTACACGGCCGAGATTGAGCAGCTGCCGGCGCACGCGGCACCTGTGCCGTCGCGTCCGCTGCAGTACAACACACCTGGGATGCAGCGAGGCGTGCCCACGATTCCACGAAAGGACCAAAGCTACGGCTACACGGCCGATGAAAACGGCGTCTTGAAGCGACACACGGCGCCAGCGTCGACGTACTCAGGCTTGGGCCAAGACACGGTGGGGCCCGCGGGGTACAACGTGCGGAAGGAGCCGACCGCAGATATGGCGACGACCGTGCCCAGTCTCAAGTCGACTGTGAAGCGCGAGGTCTGGGAAGAGCTCTCACCGCGAATAGACGTGCCTGTACGTTTGCGCAGCCGACATATTGCAATAGTTTCGCAACACTATTGTAGGGCCCCGGTACGTACGCGCCAAAGTTGCGGCCGCAGGCACCACAGAGCGACCGACCCAACGCTGTCTTTGCGTCCAAGGTGCCGATTCTACCCGAGCCACGACGTATCGAGAAGGACGAAGAGAAAGCCCTTTTGCTGGCGCTCCAAGAGCAAAGCCACAACCCAAAGCCCAAGGTCAACGACGACTGTCGAAACAAACACACAGACGAACCAATGTGTAGGTCCAAGGCGTCAAGAAGGAGCAGTTTGGGTCCACGGCGGGCCGCACCGACATTGCGTCCAACATCAACACACCGTTTATTCAGCCCACGTACAATCAAACGCCGGGTCCCGGTACGTACGTCGACAAGAAGACGTACGACCAGCGGCGCCGATTGCACTCGAAAAAGAGTTTTCGCGACGACGCAGTCGGGTTCCAAGCCATTTCGGAACGACCGTGCTTGGCGAAAACCAAGCCCGCGTACGCGACCGTACGTATCTCAACACTCGTTCTGCTTCGAGCCGCCGATACTTGATGTGTAGGGCCCGGGCACGTACAGCCCCGCCGGCCACGACCTCACGCTCGAAAAGGCGGTGCGCATAAAGCAGCATGTCGGCCGCAACGGCGTCTTTGGCTCGACGACCGAGCGCTTCCTCTGGAACCTCACACCCGAGGTGCTCGAGGCCGAAGAGCAGCTGCCAGGTCCCGGCAAGTACACGGCCGACTCGAACGTGGTCGAACCCTTGCCGCCTGGTGTTCGCCGCCCGCGCGTCTACACCTCATCGGCCTTTCGGTCGACGACGAGCCGGTACGGTTGGATGCAAACGCGAAACACAACCGTCTCGTAGGTTTCCGAAGGGCCACAACCATGCACCGCAGTTCCATATCGTTGGCGAGTGCGCGGCGCCGGCCGTCGGCGACTACGACCTCGTCAACGTCCCACCACACCGCGTCGCGACGAATCCGTTCTTGAAGGTGCCCTTCCTGAGCCAGGGCCCGCGAAGCGAGATTGGCGCCGAGACCATGTACCGCGAAGTACCGGGGCCGGGTCAGTATGAGGTTGCTTCGCCGCGCGACCAAGTTGTTGGGGCACCGAGCTTCCGGACGCGCGCAAATACGATCCGGTCTACGCTGCCGCTTCAGCAGCGCTTTGAGCGCAAGCCGACCAAGCCGCACCAGCTCATTGGGCCTGGCGCGTACACTGTACCCGGCACGGTCGGCGTCAAGACGTTCAACGTGACCATGCGTGCGAGGAATCAACAACACGCTTGAGCATAAGCATAGATAAGAAAATAAGTTGCGACGTCGTTACCCCGAGAAGCGTCGCACGAGGTGTGGCTGGCGCATCTCCGACTGTTTGGCCCGATACGCAAAATGCAAAAAATCGGCTTCGCCAATCACGCCGTCTTCGTCGCTGTCCATGGCCCCGAGGATGGTCGACAGTTCGTCTTGGGTCGCATACGCATCTAGTCGACACTCGCGTCAATGCATGTTATTTCAAACTCAAAAATGTACCTTTATCTTGGTCGGCCAGCAGCAACCCGAGCTTCTTCTTGGTCAGTTGCCCTTGGTCGTCCCGTGTGGCCATGTAAAAGTAGAGCTTAAGAGCTCGCCATTCCTCGTCCGTAAAGACGTCGGCGCCCATTTGCTATAGCATCCCGTGAGAATACGACACGGCAAACACGAGCGACTACCTTCTTGTATACAGGAACCGTCTCCGTCTCGATCGCTGCGTGGGCGCTCTGAATGTTGTTCTTGCGCTGCTCCCAGACTTGGAGCACGTTCATAATGTCGATCTGGCCCGTGAGCTTGTCGACGCTCGGGCGCCGCTGGTGTAAAAAGACGCGCGACGGCACGGACGACGCGACGCGGTGCTTCTCCGATTCTTCGTTTGCCTTGATCTGCCATTGTCGACGGATCTGGGCCACGCGCGTGTCTTGACTGTCGACGGCATGGAACGAACGGGTGCGGCGCTTGGGCAGCACCTCTTCTTCTTCCTCGTCCTGCGTCGCGCTGTCGTCGTCGTCTTGCGGGGATGTCTTTGTCGGTTGGCACATGGGTAGGCCCGGGCGCGACCCGCTCTGGAAAATCTGATTTTGAAGCTCGGCAATGCGCGACGACACCTTGATGCATGCAATCTACGCGATGTAAACGTGTGAGCTAGTGCTCGAGCGGTAAACCATACTTTTTGCTGGGGCTGCACTGCCGCAGGGTGCATTTCGGAAGGCGGGACAAAGCCCGATCCGCGCTTGCTCACGGGCGTCGTGCTGATGGACTTGTTGCTGCGCGGCGCAGCGACCTTGGGTCGCGTCTGGATCGGCGGTGGCGGCATCTCGGGCTCCTCTCGCTCGGCGCGCGACGACTTGCGTCGCGCCATGAGCTTGGAGATGAAGCCTCCGGTCGCAAACATATGCGGTTTCTTCTTTTTGCTCGGTAAGAGAGCCGTCGACGCATTGCACGAGCGCACGACGTGGAGACCAGGACCGAGACGGCTGCAGAGCGATACGAGCTGCAAGAACGAAATGGGCAAAAACGGGAGCGTCTCGGCGAGGAACTCGGAGACGGCGTTGACCTCGCTCGCGTGCGTGATCTTGCTCTCCGTGTGGGCACGCTTGTGCTGGACGAATTCGAGCTGGCCCGTCCATTCGTACGTCAAGTAGAGCGTCGCGCCCTAGGCTCAGACGTCAATGTCATGCGTCAATAGCGATGAACGTACCATGTTGGAGTACACGTTGCAGTACTCGGGCGCGGAGAAGACGGTGACGACGGGCGGAAAGTCGTCGAGCGAGACGCCCTTGGCGTAGTGTTCGTAAAAGCCCGTTTCTTCCATCTGAATGTCATGCCATGAGCATCCTCAATCACCGAAGCTCAATGCTCTACCTCGTGCGCACGGATGATGGAGAGGAGTTTGTTGCGCTGGAGAAATGACCGGACGAGGTGCTCGCTGAACATGTACGAGCAGCCGCGGATCGGGTTGGGCGCCCAGTCGTCGTGCTGGTCTGTGTCCTTGGACGGGTCCGACCACAAGATATCGCAGAGTGGTCCCGACGGCTTGGGCTCGACGAACCGGTCGAGGTCGTTGATCTCGTCGACCGTGTCAATGTCGGGTGAGAGGCCGCCGTGCAGCGCAAGAAGCGTTCCGTACGACGTCTCGATCGTCGCGGCGAGGGGCATGCTCTCAAAGCATGCGACCATGCGGTTGTACACGAGGAGGCCATACTTGCGGAGACACTCGTCGCGGAACCCGTAGTGCGTGCTCACGCTCCGGCACTCGTGGTTGCCACGGAGGAGGTGCACGAACTTGGGAAACTTGATCTTGTACGCAAGGAGGAGCAGCATGATCTCGCACGACGACGGACCACGATCCACGTAGTCGCCAAGGAATAAATACTGGTTCGTCGGGCTCGGGTCGCCATGGACATGCAGCAAATGCAGCAAGTCGAAGAACTGGCCGTGCAAGTCGCCGACGACTACATAACGTACGATGAGCTTCCTCGCAAGCTCATTCTTGGCCTACCGATCATGGGCGCTTGGAGCTTGAGGATGTTGAACTCGGTCGTCATGATCTCCGTTCCCTGCGCAATGAGGTCGAGCGCGGCCGTGACCGAGAGGCTGTTGCCATGCCGGAACGCATTGCGCACAAACATGGGCTCGAGGTCGTACTTCATCATGCGTCCTTCCATGACGCATGTCGTTATCGGAAGCTTCCGGAAGTAGTTGATCGCCTTCTCATCTAGGAGCATGGATGGCATCATGGGCCAGCGTCGTCGACCGACGTACCGATCGCGATCGTCTCGAGCGCGCTCTTCTTCTCCCAGTCCTTCTGCAGCGCCGACGGGGGCGGCTCCATCTTCTTCATCGTCGGGCGCGACGATGGCGTCGAGCTCAGGAAGGCCGCGAGCTTCATGCTGCGTCGGGTTGGCGCTGTCTGGGAAAAATCGCCGTCTGAGATCCACCCTCTGCTTACGCCCCGCGGAAAGCTCTTGGGTTTTGTATGGGCGACAAAAAATAGGGCGACCAAGATCTCCGGCCGTTCCAAACCAACGCGTTCGATGGAAGTGCAATTTAGTACAAGCCGTCGACTAACTATGAGAACGCCCTCGCCGAACGCGATGGTTTGCCGACCAACGATACTTTGTAGGGACGGGCCGCTCGGTCGTACAGTACACGCGATAATCGGTTTTGCATAGTCGAAGAGACGCTGCCCCCTTCGTAAATAGTACTACGCGGGGCTTGGATTCCGATGTCTCCGCCGCCTTCCTCCAATCGGTGCATGGGTGCCAGGCAAGCGGCGCGAGATGTGTAGAAAGGCTGTCGGACGTACCGGTACTTCAGTATTTTCTCGCTCGTGGGAGCGTACCTGGCATGGTGTTCCAAAGCCACTTCAAATCTAGAAGGGACTGGTATCCACAGAGCATTGCAGGCTTCCAATGCAACGAGTGCCCACGAAGAAGACAACCATGGGGACATGGCGGCCGTTCGACCTGCTGCTACAGTGACACACGGCAGAGAGCACTGACCCTTGAGGACAGGATGGGCGTGCTGGACGCGCGTCGTCACTGCACTGGCCTTCGTGGAGCGACTACACGTGACAAAGGATCCACAGGCTCCAAACGTCCAGATGACAACAACAAAGAAGAAGAAGGAAGTCTCGTAGCCGGGTTGTGGGCGTGCCACGCTCCAGTCACGAATATAAAAAGCGTTGCACATCAAGCGATTAAAGCGAGCACGCTCGAATGTTTTCAAGCGCTTTTTACATGAGCGTGGATTGGCTCGTTTGATGTACCAATGGGCGTCAGCGTTTCGAGGCGCGCGTTTTGGAACGGGTTGGTAACGACAATCCAAGATCTGAGGCCAGGCAAAGTTGAAAAGGAAATCAAGATGGCAGACGACCGCGAGTGGACGCTAGAGGACTCGAGTGAAGAGCTCTGGGCAGCGATCGACGAGCTCCGCGCCAAGCGCGACAAACTGGTACGCCTGCGACGCATGGGCGTCGATGATGGACCGCGCGGCTAGGTCACGATCAACCGCACCGAGGCCATGAGCTTTACCCAGCGCACCGACATGTTCAAGCGGCAAATGGCAACGGCCGCGCCGGCCATGAAGCAGTCGGTGCAAGCGCAGCTGCGCATGATCGAGCAGCAAAAGACCTTTTCGGAGCAGAACTTTCAGCGCAACACGCGGGCGATTGACACCAAGATCGAAACCATCAACCGCCTTTTGGAGGAGAAAAAAGTGCGCGGTACGACTATGACGCCATAGCTATGCATTCTCATGCGACGTCCTGCAGACCAACGCCAGCTGGAAGAGGGATTGCAGACTGTGCAGCAAGACGTAGTGACGTTGAAGGCGACGACGCAAGCGCTCGCAGGCCAAATCGACGTCTTGAAGACCGAGGCTCGCGAGCGCAAGGCCGACTTTGACAAGAGCATTGCTGCGATCCGAGACGAGGCCAAGAGCGCGTCCGAGATGACCGAAGACATGTGTACGCAGATTTACGCGCTCCAGGCGCAGTCCCAGCTCCTCATGGCCGAGTACGACGCCAAGCAAGCCGACTTGCGCGAGAAGCAGTACATTGAAGAGAACCCGACGTACGCAATGGTCTACTCGACGATCTTTTCCAAGGTCAACGAGGTGTTTGTCGCGTCCAAAGCGCTCGCGAGCGGCATGGTCACGCGTGAAAAGTACTCGGACGGCGACCGTGCTGCGCAGTACATGACGCTTCTGAGCGAGTCAGTGCCGTTTCCTGGCGCCAACTTGGTGCTCGGGTGCATTACGAACCGTGTCCAAGCGCTCTCAGACAAGCGCGAAGAAGACCGCGTCGCCAACATAACGTCGAACGCCAACAGCTTTTCCGAAATGGATGAAGTACGCTTCGCTATCTCGTACTTGATCTGAATACCTGCATAGATCTGCGACACGGTCGCGCGCGGCCTCGTCTTTGCGTACGAAGAGCAGCTCTGCGCGATGACGCGCCATGGCGCGTCGGTCTTTAGCGAGTGCCTCGTGCGTGGCGTGCTCGAGTTTCTAAGCACGCCGCCGTACGAGCGTGGCGTGCCATCGGACGATGACGCGTCGACAGCTAGCCTCGTCGCCCAAATTGTCACGTTCTTTGGCCGACGCGATTACGTGAAACGTGAGGCCGCGATCGAAAAGATGACGGGATGCATGCCGTTCGCAGACTTTGCCATGTTTCATTGGTTCAACAAAAAGACACCGACGGCATCGACGCTCGAGCGGTCGCGGCGCCCGGTGCCCATCGAATGCCGCTTGCCCAAAGACGTGCCATGGACGGACGTGGGCATTCTGCAGCTCTCGGGCATTCGCACGCGTGAGGGCGACCACTACGATGGCGATGCCGCGCAGCCACATGTGTATGGGTACCGCCTCGCGTCGGCGCGCGATGCCGCTCTTCTTGGGTACTTTAGCGCGGCGCGCCAACCAGGCTACGTTGTGCCGCTCAACGACGACCAGCTCAGCCGGAACCCCGAAGCGCACACCAAGTTTTGGCGTGGCTAAAGACAACATCTGCATGTCATATTCTGCGTTTTAAAGTCGTCCGTGAAACAAGATCAAGGAAATAAAATCCATATTGTTTATTCCCTTGAAGAGAATGGAGTGAGTCGTACTCGAAGAGTTCAGTCGCGGTCGCCATAAAAGAGATGCTAATTCATGGTTGATTCCATCAAGGACATGACACAGGGCTTGAAATATAGCTGTTCCACCAGTCCAGTCAACGCTCCATGGTATTATCAAGCAATGCGCGTGCGAAAACCACAGCGACATTGCCGAGAACTAGCGCAAGGACTACACATTTATTTCGGAATATTTTTGGCTTTTTTTCGCGATTTGTTTCAACTCGAAAGGTGGATTGACACAACGTTCCCATCAATTCGATCGACTTTTTCGAGTCCTAAACAACCCACCGACGTCCATATACGGGGCCGACCGGCGTCCATATATGGGAAACACTACGGCGACGACGTTGTTGTCGAGGACGCCAAAGAATCCAACAATCTTAAATGATCAACATTGGCACATGCTTACTTCACTGACAAGGATGACGTGGCAATACGTTACGGGAGAGACCGTTGACGGCACGTGCACCGCACGACTGTCCGAAGCACCGTGACGAGGTTGGTGATTGTTGCTGTCGTCGGCTCGCGGTGCTTGTCGCAAAAGCTGTCGATTGCAAAGAGGACGCTGCACGCATCGTGCGAGTTTGCAAGGTCGTGCAGCGACGAGCCCGCATTCCCTTCTACATTTCAGCATCGACTGTCAACATACCCGCTACGGTGATAGCATCGGACCATATTCGTAGTAGAGGAGGAGGAAGCGGAGCCCCCAGAGCAAAAGCGTGTTGTAACGCCGCGCGTCAAAGATCTCGGGCGCTTGACGCGCGAGAGGTAACAAGATGTCCATGAGACACGCCTCGAGGTCGTCGCGGGACGCCATGAGGTACGCGAGGTTTGATGCTACGACCAATTGCATGAAAACGACGCAGCTTTCGTTGTCGGTGACGCACGATGCTTGCACGCGACGACGAGGCTTTTCAGGGCCCACTCCTGCAGAGTCACGCTGTGTTGATGTGTCAAGAAGCAGTCGCGGACACTGTCCAGCACCATGGTTGAGAGCTCTTCGACTTGGCTCAGCCCTACGTCCTTGACGTCAAACAGACATCAATGAAACTAGGGGCATTACGGTCATAGTTGGTCACAAACGCCACGTGGATGAGTTGCAAAATCGAGATTCGCATCGACGTCGACGCGCACGCGGCAATGAGGTCAGTGAGGATATGTTCAATGCCGCTGCGACTCACTTGGTCTTTGGCAACGACTAGACAACACACTAAAGCATCGACATTCTAGACACAGAGCTACCGTCGCGCTCGGCCAAATTGCGAAGGAAGCGAATGCCCCACATGACAACGTCCGGGTTCCCAGCGTATTTTTGAATGAGCGGAATCACCTACCATAGTGTCACCGAGAGCCACAACAAAAGGCCGCACCTTGGGCAACCCAAATGAAATGTAGCACGACGGCAGCGTGTCTTCTTCGGGGCTTCGCACATCTGCAAGGCAGGTTGATTGAGCAAGCTCGCTCCAAACTTCATGCAGCGACCTGCGAGCGACAAGAGCGAGGCGATACCCAAGAGGTTGCGCACGGTTTCCTCATCGACAGAGACTTGCACGAGGATGTCGAGGACGGTGCGAAGCCTACATGAAACGTAATAGCTCACAAAAAATGAATTCTTGGTGTACCCCAGCGCGTCACGCTCTAAAAAGACGTGGCGAGCGTTGTACTTTGCGAGGACAAACAAAAGTCCAGCGAGGTCGGGCAACACATCGTGGTAGAGTACCTACGAAGCTATAAGTTCTCATCTCGAGCGCGCGAGTCTACGAGCTTGGAGCTCCGGCACTTGGCGAGCAAATCGACGACAAAGGCATTGTCGTCGGCGCAAAATTTGCACATGAACTTGAGGTGCACTTGGGACACGGGGTGCGTCGACGGCGTTCGGGGCATGAGTAGCGCGCGCAGGGCGTAGACACAATGACTAGACAAGAGAAGCTCTATGGATGTGGTCGAGGCGGCGCTAGAATGTACCTGGCAAAGGCATCGTCGGGCGTGAACTGGCGCTGGGCGGCTTGGATGTTTTCAATGTAGCGTTCTTGCATGCAGAGCTCGCATGCCGTAGCTACTTGATCTTTAGAGACACACAATCTATACACTACTGCCTACGGAGTGCATCACAGAGGGCGCCGATGGCTTCAATCGCGTGCTCCTTTGGGCGTTTTGACGTGAGTATCACGACAAGAGCCCGTGCAGCAACCTGGATCTTGGCGTGAAAAGGGAATCGCTCCATCGTGTCGCGCACGGTATGTAGCATATTCTGCTTGACGAGGAGCTCGTGGGGTGTCTGCGGATCTAGTATTTTCGTCAAATTACGTAGCATGGTTTTGGACGTACCGTGGGCGAGGTGGGAGAGGAGGTTTGCGCCCCAGAGCTGCACGTCGATATCGTTCGGGGCGTTCTCCATGGCATCGACGACACCGAGCTTGTCCGAGTAAATGGTCCACTTGGCCCTCTACGACATTGTGTGTGTCTTGTCGGACTACTCGGGGAATTGTACCTTGACGCTGTACGCGGTTGCGAGCAGATCTTGCTGGTGATGGAGCTCGTTCGTTGCACCCGCCGTGCGGTCGAGGGCGACGCGATACCGCCCAAGCACTTCCTCCAGCTGGGCATGCTGCTCGGCCCCTAATTTCATTCCCTCAGGCGATTTTTCACCGAGCTACTGGCGAACCGTGCTCGGTCTTTGTCTCTCGGTCGGCATCGCAGTGCTGCAACGTTCGTCGCAACTCGATCAATTCGAGGCGCAACGCATCTTCCATATCCGACTGCTCACGGTACGCCTACGCTCCATCAGGTCCACAAGCTCTTTCGTTCGAGATGACGAAGACGCACCATCCATTCTTCCAACCCTTGGCTTTGAATGTCATCCCACTCCATGTGCAGCCCTTCTAAGGCCGTCTTGGCGCGACCAATCTCGCTCTGAAGGCGAGCAGCGTCATCGCACTAGCTTCGTTTATGAAACGAAAAGGCCTTGAAAGCAGGCTGTACAGCGCAGGCCTCGCTGGCCAAAAGGGCGGCGGCTTGGGTCTGGAGAGGCGAGAGAAGCGCATCTTGCAGGACAGACCACGTCGCAACCTCGAACGGCGAATGCATTTGCTATAACACCGTTCTTGAGATACCAAGTTTGCCGAAGACTCGCAAGTAGTACTGTATCGAGCACGGCATAGTCAGCGCCATTCCGGAGAAGAAAGGTGACCATGCTTACAAAGCCCAGTCGACACGCGAGGTGCAGCGCTGTCGCCCCCGCCTACACGAAGTACGAATGGGGCTCATTCGCGCTGTGTAAGAACCTTGTTTTGAGCATTGATGTGCACGCCGAGCCGCAGAAAGAGAGCCGCGAGGGGCTCGTTGTTCTTTTGCACGGCAACGTGGAGCGCAGTGCAGTAGAGCATTGGGGGGTACCGAAGGTCCGGCGGAAGGAATTTGTGATACCGACTCACGATCGCGTCGACCCCAGGTACATCTTGCTTGAGCACGAGCACCCAGTAGGCCTTGACGGCCTCGTCCTTGTTCAGCGCCTTCTCTGGCATCCGGTCCGGCGACCTTTCGCTGGAGGCAACAATCTAAGCACACGCAACTTACGTGGCAGCACCAGCTGACTATCCGACACAGGCTGTGTCGGACACCGGGGTACAGAACGATTGCTGCATCCTTCTGTACCCCGGTGTACGTTGCCAGCACATGATGAAGACGCTGAAA